GAGACCTAGGGGTACTTGTAAGCCCTGACCTACGGCCTAGAAAACAGTGCGTTAATGTTCGAAATAAGGCAAACAGAGTATTGGGTTTTATATCTAGAAGTGTAAGTAACAAGAGTGCAGAGGTCTTATTGCAACTATATCTTGCGCTAGTCAGGCCGCACCTCGATTATGCGGTTCAGTTCTGGTGCCCTTATTATAGAATGGATATAAATTCACTCGAGTCGGTGCAGCGAAGAATGACAAAAATGATTCCGGGACTTAGAAAAATCAGGATAGGTTAAAGAAACTTAACTTGCATTCCCTAGAGAGACGAAGAGTGCCTCGTTTGAGGACAGACGGTTCGACACAGCACTGACCCACATTGTGTTCACAGAAGAGGGTATTAGAAATAAACTGTCCAGGCTAAAGGTCCATAAGAGTCCTGGACCTGACATGGTGCATCCTAGAGTGCTAAGGGAGCTGTGCAACGAGCTTGCAGAGCCTCTGAAGATTCTGTTTTGTAAATGCCTGGATGAACAAATGGTCCCCAGTGAATGGAAAGTGGCTTATGTGAGTCCTATCTTCAAGAAGGGCGATAGTCACTCCACGAACAACTATAGACCGGTGAGCCTGACCAGCATAATATGTAAAGTACTTGAGAGTATTATCAGAGATGCAGCGATGGAACATCTACTACAAAACAACCTTGTAAAAGATTGCCAACACGGTTTTATGCCGGGGCGCTCTTGCTTGACACAATTGCTCAAGGTATTGGATATTTGGACCCATATTCTAGAACGGGGTGGTAATATCGACAATATTTACCTAGATTTTGCCAAGGCTTTCGACAGTGTACCCCACGAAAGGCTGAAAATCAAACTGGAAGGGTACGGAATTCGGGGAAATGTCCTAGCGTGGATAGAAGACTTTCTACATGACCGCAAGCAATGTGTGGTGATTAATGGCACGAAATCGTCATCTGTACCTGTAACAAGTGGGGTACCGCAGGGTAGTGTATTGGGCCCGCTGTTGTTTGTTTGTTTCATAAATGATATGCCTGACGTTGTACACTCCTCCATACAAATGTTTGCCGATGACGCCAAGTTATTTCGGGAAATTAAGAACCAAGCGGACTGTGAAGAGCTGCAGAAGGACCTCTGTGGGCTCCAGGAATGGTCGAAGGAATGGCTGCTGAGATTCAATGTCACGAAGTGTAAGAGGATGCACCTGGGGCGTACCAACGGTAAGGAGGCGTACCATATGTCCCAACGGGATGAAGAAAATTTACTAGTTGAGACTGTGTGAGAAGGACCTAGGTGTGTATGTTGACAATGAGCTGAAGTTCTCGGGCCATTGTGAGAAGAAGGTAAATCAGGCAAATAAATTATTGGGTCTTATAAGAAGGTCGTTCAGATATCTAGACGGTCCGTCCCTCGTGACGATCTTCAGAAGTGAAGTGCTTCCCCATCTGGAGTACTGTCACCCCATCTGGTCCCCGAGATATGCTAGGGACTGTCAGTTGGTTGAAAATGTTCAAAGGAGGGCCACCAAACTGGTGCCTGCACTTCGGCACCTCAGCTACCCTGAGAGATTGGAGCGCCTGAACTTGCCTAGCTTATACTACAGACGGGCAAGGGGGGACCTAGTTGAGGTTTATAAGCATCTCAGGGGGCACTACTCAGTTGAGTGTCCTTACTTGGAGCTGGCGGACGCTCGCCCCACAAGGGGTCACAGCTCAAGATTGAAGAAGCCGCAAGTCCAGAAAACCGTGAGGGCAAACTTTTTCGGAGTGAGGGTTGTAAACTCTTGGAACAATCTACCAGAGAGTGTTGTGACGGCACCGAGTGTGAGCTCTTTCAAGAGAAGACTTGACCAACACTGGAGCGGGTTCAGGTACATTCAGGAGCCGGTGCATGCCCAGTATTTGCCAACAGTGCGTGACAGAGACGTGACTGATCGCCCGGGCGGCTAGCGAGCCGACCTTTTGGTGAAGAATATAAAGGAAAAGAGACGTGACCGATCGCCCAAGCGGCTAACAAGCCGATCAGTGGCGAAGAGGATAAAAGTAAAAAGTAAAAGTAAATAAAGGAGATATAGATAAAGTTCTTATAATATCCGAGCAGGATAGGACTCGGAACAACGGATTCAAGTTGGATAAGTTTAGGTTTAGGAGGGAGATAGGAAGGAACTGGTTTACAAATTGGGTGGTGGACGAGTGGAACAAGCTTAGCAACTTTGTGGTAAGTGCTGGAGCACTGGAAAGTTTCAAAGGGAGGCTGGATAGATTCATGGATGATAGAGAGTGGTAGTAACTCTCGACAGGAAATACCATGCACAGGCCAACCGGCCTATTGCTGATAACCACAAGGAAAGAAGAAAACACGAAGTTCCCAAGCGCTTTCGTGTACCGGGTAATTCACACCTTCAGGGGTGAGTACAGTCCTGAAGGTGTGAATTACCCGGTACACGAAAGCGCTTAACATATATATATATATATATATATATATATATATATATATATATATATATATATATATATATATATATATATATATATATATTTCATGTAAATCCACAATGAAAACGTGGATAAGATAAATCTTGATAAAATCACACGGGAAAATGGAAACAACGGAGCACCTTAGCTTTCGTCTTTATTCAAGACATCTTCAGAGGCAACCAGGGTTGCCAACTCGGATTTTCAAATGTCGCTAGGCTGGTACCTAAAAGTAGCTAAATGTCGCTAAATCTTCCATGAAAAGTCGCTAGCTATTATTCCCCCCCTTCAGTAATTTGATGCAAATAATATTTTCATAATGCCGACTATAATGGACGGAGTATAAATAAAATGCATTATGTAAAAATAAAAATATTATTTTTTTTAAAGTTTAATGTGCACACTTACCTATTATTCAATAGTAATTGCATCCCAGTCCTCTTCGTAGTCGTCGGCAGTGTGAACAACTGTAGAGCTGGAAGCATGTGAAGTGCTTGGTTCAGGTTCTCTTGTAACTGTATGCCTCCACAGTCCCTATCTTTCTTAAAATATCACTAGGAAGTTCATAACTTGCACAACAGGTGTTCTGTCTTTTTAACCCATACTTTATTGTAAGAATTGCCTTTAATGTCGATAGTTTCATTTTGTTGCGCAATTTTGATTTCTCAAAGTTCATATTACTAAATGTGCGCTCTACATCTGCGTTTGAATGTGGAAGAGATAAGGCAGCGAGTGCAATTTCAGCCAGATCATGGTAAGGGTTTTCACCTGTCGCATCTCTGTAATTTGCCACTTCTGACCACAATTTTAGGGTGCAGTGGCGGCTCGTGAAAAATAAAATGGAGGGACTGCAAGCCTCACACAACAGTAGGATACACAAATTTGACCTACCTCAGGTATGAGTTGTAGTTGATGTCCACTAATTCCCAGGGCATGGTAGTAGTGTTGGTGGTGATGGACCAGTATTAATTGAAAATAAAGTCCGAGCGTCTGCTCTTCGATGTAGCAAAATTTTTTATTACTATTTCATTAAAATCCTTTATTTCTGTTATCATTTTATTTTCAATGGATATCACTGCTAAAGCAGACAGTCTGTCATTCTGATAAACACTCATGTTAAACTGGCGTGTATATTCTTTGTTCCTGCTTGTACTGTTCTGTTGAATGGATAAAACTGGTGTAGGTCTTCCTCTTGCTTTGATTTCAGTCTTTTCATTTAATGTCAGCTGGGAAAAGTTGATGTTTTGCAAATACTTCACTCGATTTTCCATCGTCAAAGGGTAATTAAAGAAAGCACGATTTAACCACACCGTCCACACGCAATGTAAACACGAGACTGAGCTGCTTCAAGTGCGGCGGCGGCGCCAATTAATAACAGACATGAATCGTACAGCATTGACAGCAACTATGAAAGTAACTTAAATTTTGGTCTGATTTTAATGAAAATTCACTTAGCAACGTATTGAAAATAATTAAATAACATATAAAATGATATATTTGTTGGTAGTGTATTATTCAGCTGTCTCTCTAAAGGAATCATACGCCTGGCAGTGAGTGTCTGGGAGGACTGCACGAGCCGCCACTGTTAGGGTGTTAGATGCATGGACGGGCTGACATCAAGTGATCAGGAAATAGACGTGTCCCTCCTTCTGTACCACGACCCATTCAAATGTATTAAACTTTTCTTATTATTTATTGTCCCTGTAACCCCGTTGCTATATATTATGGCTCGAAATTAGGAAAACTGAGTTTTCATGGACAGTCCAAAAGTATCCAGAAAGTCGCTAGATTTCTGTGGATATCTCTAGATTTGCGACAAGTCGCAAATCGCTCTAAAGTGTCGCTAGAAAAAAACAAAAAGCTCTAGATCTAGCTACAAAGTCGCTAAGTTGGCAACTCTGGAGACAACTGAAGATGTCTTGAATAAAGACGAAAGCTAAGGTGCTCCGTTGTTTCCATTTTCCCGTGTGATTTTATCAAGATATATATATATATATATATATATATATATATATCCTAAATTTTCCCAATCTCTTCGCCTTTGTCTTAAACAGTGAACGTGGAAGTGAAATGTGTTTCGAGGTAAAGAATTTGGAGTTGTATTTCCACACGAGGCGGCGAAAGGTTTGAATCTGGCGGAGAAGTTACTGTGGACCGGGTGGCAACTGTCGTCCTCCCTCACCCCGATAACTTGCTGAAATAAATATATGAATAACATCACTGATGTATAATAGTGAAAATTATGATTATTCATTATTTTTAGAAATTGTAATTAACACAATAAGAGTGAAAAAATACTACTTTATTAGTGACGGGAATTACATAACAGACGCGGACGTTGGGAGGCCGCCTTCCTGAACAAGTATCTACCCCAGCCACCCGCGTTATCCTACATCTACCACCGTACAGGGACTATTACTATAAACATTCAATAATTCTAACACATATCAACCAAAAATACACATAATTTGTTTCATATTTATGTATCAATAGATAAATTAATTGATTATGATTATTTAAATATAATTTTAGAAGAGGATTGGGAGATATAGCGTGTGAAGGCTGAAAGTTTGTGTATATGTGTGGTCCCTGTGAAGCGTCTACTCACAATGTTCACATCAAAACATCGAGCAAGGGTAAGCCACATTGAATTACATTAAAGTTTTTAGCTGAAAATGATAGTTATTCACATTATTCATCTCATAAACTAATACATAAATATTGTTAAGAATCGTGGGGTCACTCTGGCCGATTATTACTAGTGAGACTGGTGTAGTAGGAGTTAAAACAGGGGATGTACCGGGAAGCCACGGTGGATGGACCAAGCCGCCGCATAATTGAACCTTCTGGGGCCGCCCGGCTCATGTCCACCACACCACCACCATCATTATTACCTCGCCCTCCCCGTCTCTCTCTTTTAAACTGCTCTATTACCTCCTCATCACCATCACCAATGTAGTATAAATGTTTAGCAAGTGGGGAAGTGTATTTTAAAAGATAAGTATAATGTGACAAAGGAAGTGGTGTGTGTGTGGTGATGTGTGTGGTGCTAAATGGTATATGGTGTAAGTGTGGGTGTTTGTGTGGGGCCTAGTAGTTTGTGGTGGAGGTTTTGTGTGTGTTTGTGTGGGACTTATTGGTATATGGTGGAGGTGTGTGTGTTGGTGTGTGGGGGGGGGGGACGACTTATTGGTATATGGTGGAGGTGTGTGTGTTGGTGTGTGGGGGGGGGACGACTTATTGGTATATGGTGGAGGTGTGTGTGTTGGTGTGTGGGGGACGACTTATTGGTATATGGTGGAGGTGTGTGTGTTGGTGTGTGGGGGGACGACTTATTGGTATATGGTGGAGGTGTGTGTGTTGGTGTGGTTTGTGGTGGAGGTGTGTTTGTGTGGGGCTTAGTGGTTTGTGGTGGAGGTTTTGTGTGGGACTTATTGGTATATGGTGGAGGTGTGTGTGTGTGTGGGGGCGGGGGGACTTATTGGTATATGGTGGAGGTGTGTGTGTTGGTGTGTTTGGCTTAGTGGTTTGTGGTGGAGGTGTGTTTGTGTGGGGCTTAGTGGTTTGTGGTGGTGGTATGTGTGTGGGGATGTGCCCATTTCGTCACCACATTTTTTACCTGTTTCGTCACCTTCATTCCCATCACCATTTCAAGGGAATTACATTCCATAAATTTTTTACATAATTAGTACATCAATATATACACGAAAATTTCACTAAATTTGCCAAAATAACTGTTGCTTGGGATAGAAAATAATCAAAACAACTAGTTTACAAAATCGTATTACGAAATTATGCCTCGGCATAACAATACATTGGATAATGCAAACATCTCACTACGACAATTTATTAAAGACGGAAAAAAACAATGTTAATATGTCTGTAATCATCTCACTTAAACAGTATGTAAAAGACTAAAATTAAAAAAATAAATAAAAACATTGTTATTACTCATGCAAGCTTGGAAGAAGACACTGACAATTGTTTAACAAATTAGAAGTTATATTTTTTCTTCATATTCATTCCACAGCTTCCAGAGACTGGCATATTTGTCATGATTTGCTTTTCTTGTGCATGATTTTAGCTTGTTGTAATTGCAAATAAATGAAGAAGAAATCACCTTCATTTGTTCTATATTTTGTTTATTTACCAATGTTTTAATTGTTTTCGTTATTAAATAATTAATATTCGTGTTTAATAATAACACAATAATTCTCGAGTCGTCTGGATACATGTTTAATTTCTATTCGTGTAACATAATAACGGTAAATTTGCATTGTCACCGTTCTGTTAGAAAGTAAAAAATATATTTTTCTAGTGTATTTGTGTGTGTGACCTTCATTTCTGGCGGAAATAAGCAGGGTTTTTTTTCGTTGGACGTTTTCCGAAAAAAGATCTTGGCAAAATACACCAAAAAACCTAACCTAACCTAACTGACTCTCACCATATGATGGAATCATCTATATCTTACTTTATTGGGCTGGTTCTTGTTCGTTGTTGGATTTTGAGATTCTTATACAGCGCCACATATGTTGGTCTTTGCGATATTTACATTGTCTTGCTCTTAGTACACTTTACTGAGGTTGGAAGAACACCATGCGATCGAAGAAATGCTATAGTTTCTTTGGGTTTTTTTTTTTTCCCAAAAACTTTCAATCAGCTCCATATAATTTAAGGGACACCCTTCACAGACTTCCATGGTCGGCAGAACTGAAGTTACTGAACTTGAAATTCAAAATATGAGACCCGAAACAAAACTCGAATTTGATTGGGCCAAATATACCGCGAATTAAACCCAAAATCATTTTAATTAGTTACAAAAACAAAAACGCTTTTGATTGGCCGCGTGACGTGTACGGGAACGCATGCGCGTGATGATTTATGAAGGAGACGCAGGAGACACCAGTGTTGGAGGAGAGGCAGGCGTTAATGGCGGAAGACTAATGGAAGAATATAGAGAAAATTTTGGATAAGCTATCTCCGTTATTATACATTTCCGCCGGTAATGTAATAGAGGAAAATTATCTTATAATTAGACGTCTTATTCGAATATGATAATAGATTAGTGGTAGGAATGAACGGTGTTTAAACGCAATAATACCATAATAACTTACAATTTATCACTGCAGTATTACCAGAGACTAACGGTCTGTTAGTGGTTACGAAATGGGGTGTATCCTTTGTGTAGGGTTTGGTGGTTTGTGGTGGAGGTGTGTGTGTGGGGCTTAATAGTTTGGTAAAATTTCTCTTGTTGCCACTATACAAAATGGAAGTTGAAAGTATGTTTTTCCAATGGTTTTTGATATGTTATGAATGAATTTAACCTTAATTTCTGGTGCAAATCAATAGTTTCTGAGATAACCCCCCCCCCATCTCAGAATCTAGAGATTTGCTGTAAAGATCAAGGTAAAAAGTTTCAAAACACACTGAAAACCATTGGAAAAACAAAACCCCAACCAACCTTAAACGTAATTTGTGCTAGAAATACCATTGACGAAAAGTGTCTTAGAATAATATGGTGGAGGTGTGTGTGTGTTATGCAGGTGTCAGTATTCCATTATACAGGAATAAAGGTTACGGTGTATTTTAGGCATAACCCTTTTATAGTTTTTTTTTTTGTGATGGAACAAGGGGGGGGGGTGGCAACTTTGGGCTTAACCTTAGTAGCAGCAAATAGTCTATGGCTGGTGCCACTTTAGTGTGTGATCTAAAAAGATATCTTCAGTCAAACCTGACCTAACCTTACCTATATATCTTGTTTACCGCACACTATAGTATCACTGTATGGCCTCCACACTCTCTCTGCTCTGGTAAATTTACTAAAACATCACTTATTTCTTTTTTTTCTTGTCTTTTTTTCTTTTAAAGTAGGACATAATTTGGTTCATCTTTTAAATTTGTATAAACGATAAAGACAAGTAGGTAGTAATAATAAGGGGAAAAAGTTTAATATACTGATAGATCACACCTAAACTGCCTGCCTATATTATGTCTTCTCTGGAAAAATAATGGAAATACCTAAAAATTGGCCTCCGAGCCTATCTCACCTGATTTTTAAAACACCCTAACACTCTGGGGGGTTAGGGTGGTTAATCGTACGGTGAAACAGGCTGCACGGGCAAATCTTCTGACGATATGAAAAGTGTTTTGTTATCTAGTACTGTACTGTATAGGCATCTTAAATTTTGGTGCTTTTTTTTTTTTTTTTTTTGAAAAGAACAGTAATTGTTTCCATGTAAACCATCAAGTAGATCACAAGAGCAGGTGTAGAGTCTCTCCTGTGATTGAAAACAAACCATTGTTGAGCTGTGTCCAATTTTACTGGCAACAGGAATGAAAGTGGGTGAAACAAAAACAATACAGTCTCTCCTCGACTTACGACAACCCGGACATACGACGTCCATGGTAGTATAAAATATTTTTCACATTACTTATTTTTGAGTTCCGACGTTAGTGATCGCTGTGTACTGAAAAAAAATTTTCGTTTGTAATTCCCTTTAAAATGGCTGGCAAACGTAAAAGAGGGAGTTCTCGTGGTGCTGAGAAGAAAAAAGAGAGACCCATTTTAGAATTTCTATGTATTATTTTCGTCTTTTCGACTTACGACCAACTCAACTTACGACCTGGTCGTCGGGACGGAACCCTGTCGTAAGTCGAGGAGAGACTGTACCTTTAACTTTGAGATGCGCTGAACACTAGTCACACAATTTTTAAGGTGACTGTACTTGTTGTTCCACGGAAAGGAATCCTACTATGGTTAGGTTAATGTTTAGCCTTTTGCAATTACAGTACAGTACTGAAAAAATAACCATCGACTATTGACCTGGACCCGCAGGGATTGTGTATGATTTTAATGGGATTCTGTTAAGGATGGCTGTGGGCATTACACTAGTCATTACACTACAGTATTATATAAATAATGTGCAGTATATACAATGCACATTAAAATTACACCTAATCCACAGTAAAATAGCCAATGCTATTCAGCCGGGGTCCTGGTCAAATAACTAGTGGCTATTTGGCTGGATACTGGTCAAATAACCCCTCCCTATTAAAATGTTGCTCTCTGAGATAACTGTAGAAACTGTTGTTATAAACCCCAGTGGTGATCCTGACTCCTGTGTGTACATGACTGAACTTTTAAGTCAAGCTTTATCCTGTCGTTTCTTTGCCATTTTTTTGAACTTTTGGTGAATTTGAATCTGGCATCTATTCCTTGATTGCAGTGTGTATTTATGGTTAGGTAAAATGAAATACCTTTACAATATTTATTTACAGCACACATATCTGAGATACTGATACTCAGTATCCAGGCAAATACATGGTTGAGGAATACTGTATGATGAATTGTTAACTCTTAGTTAAAGAAATGGGATCACCTAAAGAATCTGCACCTCAGCTTTTTTCACTGAAAGGTTAATCACCCTAACACTATTTGGAGGGATGAGGTTAGGTTAACTTTAGGTGAAATATGCTGAGGTACAGATTCTTAAGGTGATCCAAGAAATATTTGTTTATTATTACAGAGTAACAATATTAGAGGAGGTTGGCTCGATGTATAGTACAGTACAGTATATTGTGATCTTTGAGTTAGTTTTTAGAATATGTCCCTCAGATTCAAGAGTTGTATCAATGATGGTGCTTCTCCTACCATGAGGGCCAGAGTAAATAGCTGGTTGTGTTGATCCATTTACAGTGGATGTATCTGAACCACCAGCTGAACATACACTAAATTTATTCCTTCCCCAAGCCTGTGTAATTAATAATGTTTATCAAACTAGTGTATAATTGCTGCTAAGAGTATCCATGATTTAGTGTGAGACAATATAACACAACAGATGAAGGAATTTGACAACCCAACCCTAACATTTGACAATTCTACCCAAATAGTTGTGTGTATTTTTAAATTCATCAGACCCCTCTGTAAAGATAACTTTTGGAGCAAGTGAACATGTATGGTATGTTTTTCTTCTAAAAGATATTAATCTGTTTTATTAAAACTCCAAAAAATAGACTAAAAACAGTTAGGGTGCTTTATTTGATAGTGTTTCTCTAGGCTGATTACATAAATGCCCACCAGGCTTTACATGTTTGGATTCAAATAGTATCCAGCATTGTTTTTTTACTTGTCCCAGGAGGCTCAGCTGGAGATACTGTATTCATATCCAGCAGTTGCTACCATAATTCATAACCAAAATTATTTGATTATTAAAAATTTTAAATAATATTTGTATCGAAGTTCATGTTCACAAGTTTTCATGGATTTTTTTTTTTTGCAGATGGAGGATGAAGGCTCAGTAGACTATAGCACAGAAGTTATGGAAAACGGAAAAGAGCGGAAGGCCAATGACTCGGAAGATGACGGGGACGGCGTGGTATGTCTTGACTCGGATAATGCTGACACCAAAGATGTGGAATTTGCTGAGGAAGTGATAAATCTAGATGATAAGGAATCTGGAGAAGACAAGTCATCAAAGAAAGGTGACAAAAAGGATGGAGAAGGTGAGAAGGATGGCATGAGAGAAAAGGAAGCCAAGGAGATGAAAAAGAAGAAGTTGAAGTCGACAGAGGAGGACATAGGGATCACTGCTTTTGCTGGGGATCACAGTGGCTTCTTTGCCATCATAAAACAAAGGTGAGAAAGTTGCCACGTTGGAATTGTTGTTTTAATGTACAGTGACGGACAAGGATTCGCTCCTCGTGGTTTAACCTTGTCATGGGTATGGATCTCCAAACTTACTTACCCTGACTGCCGGCAGGTGTGGTTATGCTGTTTCATCTAATTTTGTGAGGGAGTAAACTTTTGTAGCAGATTAAGATTGTTGCCCCCATTACCTCTAAAGCTCTTGTAGTGTCCTTTGAGATTTCTTAATGTAAATATTGAAAAAAAATTGTGGTTCTTCAAATTATGTATTGTTGGACAGATTCTTTTGGTGTTGCAAATACAGTTGTGAAAAGCTAATATGATGATGTTTGTTGTGCAGGTATTCAGACTTCCAGGTTAATGAGATTGACAGTGATGGTGAGATGATTCGTATCACTAACCAGAACATCCCTGATGAGCCGGAGGAAATTCCTGGTTGGTGGCTGCTCTTGTTCTTTCTTAACCAGTTGATGTTTTCTATAATGCATTATACTTTTATATTCTTTTTGTAGTAGACGCTGCACCTTTTTCATGTAGATAATTTTTTTTTTTTTATAACAGTATGGGCAGCCTCTTTGTAGAAGATTCTTACCTATAGAAAACAAGATTCAGTCTGTATACCTGAACTTGCATGCTTTGTACAGTCTGGAACTTAATGTAAAAAAAAATTAGCTACAGTATAGATTAAGAAATAATTTATATATGAAAATATGGGAGGAATTTTTATCAAAGTAGAATATATTTTAAAGTTTCATCTACTGTCCACTCTAAATTTTGTGGAGGAGAATTTAAAATAGTTCAAATAATATATATAAATGTGACAAGGTTGTATTAGGTCTAGTTCATGGTGCTTAATGCTGGGATGATGTGATTTACTCTGTATTTGAAATAGTGTTTATTATTATATGTGTTTCTTGTACATTGATAAGATATTGCTGTAGATTGTATGACTTCGATATAGCCTTTGTGTTGCTGAGTGAGGCAGAATTTGATGAGAATGAATGAAATTGAAAAACAAGCTGATAGGGGTAAGCACAGTACAATATACTGTAAAGTGTTATTGGTATATTTATTTGACTTTGTTTATGGAGATTTAATTGGATGGGAAACATGCTATGTGGATATAACCGAGAGCAATGGTTGATGGTACAGATTGAGTGATACTAGGAGGTGTGTGTACACACATGCTGAAAGGCGATGTGTGCAGGAAAATTTGGGTGTGTGGCTCTATAGAAACAAGTGTAAAGGAATATGATACTTGTTCCAGTTTTTCCAAATGAAGAAAATTAACATTTAAATCATATGAACAGAGTTTGACCAGTTGATATGAGTAATGTTAAAAGAATTATAGAAATTGAGAAGAGGTAAGAAATACAAAGCTGATTGTTTTGTGGTTGACAAATAATATTGATGAAATATGTAAAAGCTAAAGGAATACAGAATTATTAGCTGAGGAAAGTGTATATTGTCAAAGGTGAAGGTTCGAGGGGCAAAAGGAGGAATGTGGAAGAAATGGACACTGGACAGTTGGGTGAATAATTTTTTAAAATAATGGGATAAAGAGTATCAGTTGACACAACCTGAGAAGTGTGCATGGAACTGTTGAAGGGAATGGAGCTGCAGAAAACTCATTAACAAGTACAGTGCTTCTGTCTGCACAGTTCTTAAACAAAAGGTGTTCCAGGTTTTGATGTAAGGGCATCCTAAATACTCAATCTATATATTTTTTTTTTCATCGGAATTTATAGCCTCTTTTCTTTTTCTTTTTTCTTTTTTAAATTCATTATTAGTGCATGTGCAATACTAGGAACTTGTAAACCACCTCTGTTGTCCTATAGTATAGTGGTTCATGCAGGCAGCACACAACTGAAAGGACCCATGTTCAATTTCCAGGTGGTCTAACGCTGGACATGTTTCCTTGCACCTGCTGTCGCTGCTCGCCTGGCAGTAAACAATAGGTACTTAATACTAAGTCATCTATTATAGATTCCTCTCATGAATGGAACGCATTATTTTACTCAATTATCAGAGTGTATTCTGGTCCTCTGTAAATGTCTGTGACAGTGTGTCGAGTCCAACACACCAAATTCCATATAAGCTGTGCTCCAGCCTGGTTCCCACAGCTCAGGTTTATTGAACAGATTGCTATCTTAAAAGAGGCACACCATGTTTGCTGTCCAAGACACTTTTAATTGGATTTTATTGAGAAATTTTAAATCCCACATCATCTTGGTAATATTACAGCATCATCTGCATACAATTATGGCAAGAATCTATTTTGTGCAATCATTATACTGTACACCTCACTACACAGTCAACTGTTTTAGTGCTCAGTTACCACAGTCATGGAAGCAGTAAATAGTAATGATAGCAATACACTGCTCTCATTCTCTTGTATCTCCTTTAACCTCTTTCACTCTCATTCTTGATCTTCCTCTGTAGAAACAATAATTTTTAGCAAACAATAGAATAAGAAATATGGGAAATTTATTTGTTTTCATTTATGGGCAAACAATAAGTGACTTTTGTGTTACTCACTGAGAATATGCTCTTTATTCTGTACACAGATAATCCCATGACATGACAGGAGATAGTACCAGCGACTGATAATGTGGTTTTACCTAAGTGTCCAACTCATAGTCTCAATAGCTAGGTGATAATTGACTCATTTAGTACAATACAGTGGTCCTTCGGTTAAGGAAAACAATTCGTTCCAGAAGGTCGTTCGTTAACCGAAACCATTGTTTCAATGGGATTTTGGGTAATTGGTTCCAGCTCACCGAAAATTACATACAAACTAAAAATAAATGCAGTAAAGTACACTTATTTTGAGGTGTGCATGTAGAAGGTTCCTGGTTGATGATGATGGGAATTAGAAGTGGGGGTGGAAGAGAAGTCACCCCATGCTTCATGCCGTCATTTCACCCATAAATTTTTAAGTTCACTTGGTGTAATTCAAGATTATTTTCCTTAAATCAATACTGCACTGCATTATATATTGTCAATATGTAAAATAAATTTCAGAATGACCAATAATTGTACTGTAAAAATGTAAAAATAGTTTATGTTCAAGAGTCTCAAGCAAGATGCTTCCTCCACTGAGCAGACACAAACTGACGCCATTCTGGGTGAGTCAAGTGGCTGTTTGGCGCGCTAAAAACTAGTTCCCTGTACTTCAATTATGTTAAATAATTGTTAAAATGAATTCAAATTTTTAATATAAGACTTGGAAAATTATTGAATAGTACAACCTTCTTGATATTTACTCAAATGGTAACGAATTGCAGCCCTAAAACCGATTACTGTATTGGCGGACTAATACTACAGCTGGTGAGCAGGCGAAAGCAGGCGAAAACATGTTTGGATAAATTCGTAAGGAATTCGTTAACCGAATTGAATATTTTTATGGAAGGTAATTCTTTAACCGAGGGATCACTGTAATGGTCTCATCCATAAAATGGGATTTCAAAATCAGTTCTTTAGTTTTTGTTTTCATTGAGATTGTAAAAAGTGTGAAAATTAAAGTACACATCCTCTTTTCCCACCAGTTTTCTCTTTCTCGCACACAATGTACGATGTTCTGGAAACTTAACCATGTATGATTAACAGACTTAATCGTCTGTTACTCTTCTTTTCATTATGATTCTCTTCCTTTTCCATGACTACAGATCAGATTACTTTAAGAATGTGTACACCCAGGCTTTTTGGGAGTCATTAACCCTGACTCATGGTAATCTGGAGAAATTTTTTCTCCATTTTGACAACCATCACTCAAAACAAAGAGATTAAAGGTCAGTCATAATAGATCCTTTGACTTGGAAGTGTAGTGGATCATGACTACTTAACTCATTCTCTCTATGGGAGCAGATGGCACCTCATTTGACAATTTGGGTTCACAGATTTCCACTCAACCCTTCTCACTCCACTTGCCATCCTCTGTGAGGAAAGATGTGTCAGTTGTACTCTTTCCTTTATGTTAAGTGAATGTCTTTTTGGTACTGTATTGAGGTTTAGCTCGACAATTATTTACTGGTGGCGTGCAAGGCCAGAGTGGATGTTTTTCCCGAGATCATTCAGCAAGTGTATACATACAGTATGTGACATAGCCAGTAAGGAGTAACCCAGACACTACCTGCCAATCTGGGATATCCTTGGAGGTTTGCTGGAGTTGGGGCAGACACTTTTCATTCATGGCATTGTCAAATGAGGTGTAATCTGCCTAATGAAATCAATGAGGTATGCAGTGTCATGACTTGTCACCTTCCTATGTCTTGGAGAAAACTGTGATCCATCATCTCCTATTTTGAACAGTGTTTCTCATAGGAAAGAGATCTTTGTGTTACAGCCAGTAGCCTTGGCCCAGGTATTTGTTGAACCCTGGAAAGCCTGGGTGCACATATTTACAGGTTGTGCCTCACTAGCCTCATTACAGAATGAGTTTTCATGAATAGAACCCCATTTATGCCCGACCATGAGCGTGGACAGGGTATATTGTGTTATTCTTGTCAATCCAGCTGTATTCCTGAACATATGCACACAAACATTTCTCAGATACCTGGCCAGACTTGTCATAAAAATTACAAATGCATATTGCTGAGTACAGTATTATGGCACCACATTGAAAGTTGTCCTCAGTGACCAATATATTTTTCCCCAGTTACAAGGAATAAAACTTGTTATGACTGTGTGTGATAGAAAGGCAGATAACCGATAGGATTTCATTGTTATGGTGACTTGAGAATCTCAGTAGAAAGGAGAAATGGAGGAGACGTATCATCTGACTTGGTATGGAGGAAGTGAGAGACTGGTTATAAGTGAGGCGAACAACTCAAGTCTGTATTTTGTTTAACATTTATCATAGTGCAGCGTAGCATCCCACACACAATAGCATTATACCCAGTGAAGGCGGATCTGGCTATTGTAAATGGGTAGACGCTGAACATAGGTACAGTTTATGCGAGTCAGAAAGAGGAAACCTAGATTTGTGGAGGCCTTCATTTCAGTGTTCGAAAGATGGTTGTTATAGTTTACAACACTATTGAAGGAAATGTGGTGGTTACATGAGAGGTTACAGCATTATTGAAGGAAATGTGGTGGTTACAGCACTATTGACGAAAATGTGGTGGTTACAGCACTTTTGAAGGAAATGTGGTGGTTACAGGAGACGTTACAGCACTTTTGAAGGAAGTGTGGTGATTACATGAGAAGTTACAGCACATTTGAAGGAAATGTGGTGGTTACAGCAAAAGGTTTACTATTGAGGGACATGGTGGTTACAGTACTATTGAGGGACATATGGTGGTAACAGTACTACTATTGAAGGAAATGTGGTTACAGTACTATTGAAGGTAATGTGGTGGTTACGAGAGATTACGTTTCTGATGAAGAACATGCGGTGGTTACAGGACAGGTTACAGTACTATTGAAAGTCAAACAAAGGATATTTATAGCTTTACTGTATTAGCAAGTAATATTACAGAATAAAAGTGGAGATGTAGGAGTTTAATGTAGTATGTAGAATTAACCCATTGAAGGGAACTAATGTTTCTAATCAAACATTTACCCATGAGCTAAATAGCATAGAAATAAGAGTGGTATTAATGAAGATGTGAATTTCCTTAATGCTGGGCATTAATCAAATGTCTGATGCTTGTGCAGATAAGAATGCAAACTCAGTGACATACACAGGTTGTTTGATGATGAGACTGGTTAACATGGTTTAGGACTTGTCTGCAGTGAGGCTGTATCTATCCAAACAGTATACTGTACTATATGTACGGTTGCCCACAGGTATAGTTTGCCACCCTCTAGTGGCCTTTCCAAACAATGCGATCAACAATATATTTTTTCTGTAATATTTGTGCTCAAGATTTTTGCTTAGCAATATGATTGATGTAATATCTGTAAAAAAAGGTTCGACTATGATTCCGATGTTGCCTCATGTTCGGAAAGGCCACCGAGGGGTAGAGCACTATACCTCTGGGCAACTATACATTGTTGGTTTGAGTGAACCCATAGATAACAGATATTACAAGTATACATGTCACCACACTTCCCGAATACCTCCCCATTCCTGTGGATGATTGTATGACATTATTTTAGCTATTACAGTATTGATAATCTTGTGTGGATTGTGTGTATTCATGGGATGTGTATGTACTTCTTCTCAGACATGCCAGAGGTGATGCCCCTGGAGTTGACAGATGTGAAGATACGCGAGCTGGAGAGGATGTTGGGTCTGGGCAAACAAAAGAAAGAAGAGGAATCAAAAGAAAATGATAAGGTAGAGGAAGAGGTGGAGGAAGTGATACAAGAGAAGGAAGAAAAGAAAGAAGAGAAGAAAGAGAAAGTTAAGAAAGAAAGCAAAGAAGAAAAGAAAGAGAAAGACAGCAAAGAAGAGAAGAAAGAGAAAGAAAGCAAAGAAGAGAAGAAAGAGAAAGAAAGCAAAGAAGAGATGAAAGAGAAAGAAAGCAAGGAAGATAAGAAAGAGAAAGTATGCAAAGAAGAGAAAAAAGAGAAAGAAAGCAAAGAAGAGAAGAAAGAGAAAGTAAGCAAAGAAGAGAAGAAAGAGAAAGTAAGCAAAGAAGAGAAAGGAGAGAAGAAAGAGAAAGAAGAGAAGAAAGAGAAAGAAAGCAATGAAGAAAAGAAAGGGAAGGAAGTCATGGAAGAGAGTACAAATGAGACAGAAGATGAAGAAACAGCAAAGAAGGATGATGAGAGTAAGGAGAAAGAAGACAAGGATAAGAAAGCATCAGAGAAGAATGAAGTCAATGCCAAGGAGAGTAAGTATTTTACCATGCTTGGTCAGTTCATCACTATTTGCCTTTTTAATTTTCATGGTGTCTCAGAAAAATGGATTCACCTGAAGAATCTCAACCCCAGCTTATTTCACCTCAAGATTAACCACCCTAACACTATTTGGAGGATGAAGTCAAGTAAAATGGATAGGTTAGGGTGGTTAAGCTTAAGGGACTTCATTCCCCAAATAGTGTTAGGGTGGTTAATCTTGAGGTGAAATAAGCTGGGGTGGAGACTCTTCAATGCAGTCCCAAAAATTTACTCCTGCTGTCTCTTTTTCATTAGTCATAAAAACTACAGTGGAACCTCTAATTAACCGACAACATGTGAAAGGTTAGTCCATTAAATATGAAACTTCCTTCTGGATTGTATGAGGGAGAGTAGTGTGTTATATATGAAATCTCCTTCTAGTGGAATATGTGTAAGTGGTTCGTCTGTTAAATCAAACTTTTTTAAATCAAGTTTTCGCTGTATTCTTTCAGATTTACCTGCGCTGACGGAGATCTGGATCAACGTAGACTTAACGGATGAGGCAGGTATCGACCTCATTAACCAGGCAATCAAAGCCCAGTACCGGGGAGTGGAGATTTCCTACGGGGAGACATCAGATGGGGGAAAGTACATTGTCGTTAGGAAGAGAAAAGGTAATTTGTGAAGACTCAAATTGATTGATTGATTACCTTTTTTAATGATGAACTTGCCTTTCCCCTGTTAAGCTAATTTGGCTTAGAAGTCCATTGAACAGCTGAAAGTCATGAAAGTTTTGGGTATTTGGTGTAGGGAGTATGAAAGGTGTGGGAAATATAAGCCTGGCTTAAGATATTTATTAGAGATGGGAAAAGTTATTTGGTGATTCATTGAACATCAGAACGGTGGATGAAATATGAAATAATGAAAGTAAGAGAAAGACTGAGTAAAGTAACTTGTGATGGGGTACATTATTACAGGACTTGCAGAGCTCCAGGATATTATGAATAAGATTCCCTTCAGTGTAACAGGAAAAGGTGTACTAGATTCTGATGAAATGAATGTACTGTGTGTTTGTTCCAGCCGGCGCTGTACGGCGGGACAAGGTTGGATGGCCAAAGGATCAGCTATACACAACGTTTGTCCTCTATAAAGAAAATGTTGAGACTGTAGAAGCCATCAATCAAATTGCATGGAAAGCCAGGTATGGGAAGATTTAATATATCTGTTTATCTGTTGTATATATTCCTTTCTCATTTTTGTAGATGTGCATACATTTTATATGGGATTATGTTTTATTTGATTACCCTAGGTGATTGCTGTATTTTAGGACATGCAATAAACAGGAATCTAAAAATGAAGTCTGATTATTGTGAAGAACTTTTATCTTTGCAATGATCAGGATATTTATTCTGGGCATCATTACCCCTGCCAGTCTGTGTTCCAGGCACTGATATCCCACCGGTTACCACCCCATGTTCTAGGCATGGATATTTGGTATTCCACTTGGTAACATCTCTGTAATTAATTGTAAAATGTTAGGTAATCCCATCTGCTAGTCACCCTGTACTAGCCAGTGTTCCCTCCAGCTGATACCTTGTAACTCTTGTGCTTACTTCATAATTTCATTTGGATTATGCTTGTAATTTCTGTTTGTATTTGTTTCACAGTACTTATTGATCACAGAAACATTATCTGGCTCTTTTATTTACTGTATATACCAAAATATATGCACAACTGTATTGTTCTTAACGATGAATCGACCAACAATAGGCAACTGCCCTTTTACAAGAAAGGTTAGGAGGTAATTTACAGAACTCCTTTAACACGTCTTTTGCATGTGAAATACGGGCGTTAAGTCCACTGAGGTCTGGGCATTTGGTGATGACCTGTGTAAATCAGAGGTGCGGGGAGGACATGGGAATATCCTCAAGCACGTGAGAAGGAAGTGATAAGCTGTGCTTAGTTGCCGTTTATCTAGTTAATTCGGGTAGTGTAAATTATACAAATGACGCATGTAGATAGCCCACATTTACAAAGTACTACTGTCTATATGTTGACAGAGGCTATTACATATTCCTATTGATTTTTAGGTTTCTGTTTATTTCATGTCAAAGTGCAGTAATCACTTAGGGTACTAAAATAAAAACATGACACTGTACAGTAAGCCCCCCACTGAATGGAAGAGTTGGGTTCCACTGAAATGCTTTCATTAGGTGGATTATGTTCATCGAAACCATTTTTCCCAGATAAATTAATATAATAAGGGAAGATGTGTTCCTGTACTAGGCTTTTGTGATAGAATAATATACAGTACTGTACTAAGCTCTGTGACAAAATAATTCCAACACATCAAAATACTGTAGATAAAAACAATAAAACATGTAAAACATACAGGTACAGATATTGTTACAGTACTCACCAAATCCATGTCGAAAGCAACAGGTGCAGTGGTTGTTCCTCTCCGAGGCCAGAGGAACACGGTAACTTGAACTTGAGGCACTGTGATAACTGCCATAGTCCTCAGGTGACAAGACTGTAGTGGTGGTGGCATCAGCTGACTGAGCGAGGACAGCATGATCTGCTGGTTTGTAGCAACTGGTGATTGTCGGAATCCGTAAACACACACTGGCCAAATTTTTTTCCACACACCATTCATTGCAGTCGGAAACTTCATCCCGGGCATCTTTAATATTTTCCAAAACTTTCTTTTTATTATAATCTTTCTAAAACTGTCTTACTTTTGTGGGTTCTGGGCTAAGAAGCATTCCCAAAACAGAACAAAGAGCATTTTAGGCTTGTTGACCAGGAGGTGGGAAACATAACAATTGTCAATTGTTGTTTGTGGGAATATTTCATTCACTCTCGTAATGATACAATGTTTCTTATTATGTTATCATGGATAAATGCATGGTTTATATAATTTGTTTATCACAAGGCCTATCACCGTTTTCAAGTTAGACTACATGATATGTATTTCTCCTATACATATTTCGATCACTCGCCTGGCAACGGGTGTGATTAAGGAGAGTGAGTGTGTTGAGTGACTGCTGCTAGTTGAGCATCGTCTGCACTTAAGTCTCCTCCCTCTCTTCCATATTTCACTGGATTTACTGTTATGTTACGTAAATTTTTAATTATGGAGTGAGAATAACAAATAAATAAAATATTGTACTATCGTGAATGACAGTAGAATGAGCTTGAGGCAGTGTCAGTGAAATGCAGTGGGTGGGAGGCAATGGATATCGTGTTAATCTGGTCTGGCTAAAGCAAATCCATCACTGAAATTTAGGTGGTGATAATAGAGGTAGTGGTGGTGATAATAGAGGTAGTGGTGGTGATCATGGAGCTGGTGGTGGAGGAGATGTGGTAAGTGGTGAGGAGATATTCATCAATCAGTTTGTTGGTAACAATAGCTGCAGCCACAACTGAACAGCTGATGTCTACCCACAAAGTTGAGTGTAAGTATAAATGAACGTCGTATTCCTTCTATATTACGTTACAAGAATTTTAAATTGTGGAATGAGAATAACAAATAAACAAAATACTGTAAAATATTGTACTGTCATGAATGACAGTCCTAGTAGAATGAGTGAGAGGGGCAGAGTGTCGGGGTGAGATGCTGTGGGTGGAAGGGAGGGAGGAAGGGGAAATTATAATATAGGTGGTGATAATAGAGGTGATGGGGGGTGACTTACCATTTGTAACAGTAGAACATTCTTTCGTTATTCGGCAAATGGGTAGTAAAAACTTGCTTTTTATAGTGCAGATTCGTTCAAAGGATTAACGCTCAGTGTGGACTTAGTGTACTAACTCTATAGGGTCTCTCCTTCACATATAAACTAGTAGGGTTGGAAATGTGACCCAGGTGAAGTCAGTTTTGATGGGACTGTATATATTTTTGGCAAAGATTGTTTGATTGGTTTAACAGTCTCCCAGGTAATACAATCCACTGAAACATGGATGCAGTCAAATTTTCTTCCAAGCCTCATTAAGAAACTGGTTTGTGGTTATTCCTGTTTCTGAACAGTGTTTTTCTTAATAATTCTGGTGGTGTATTTGGTTGCACTAATTCCTGTACCTTATTTTTCTCTAGGGTAAAACCAAGCAGTTTTACATATGCAGGAACTAAGGAGAAGCGGGCCAAGACCAGTCAACTTGTAGCGATTAAAGAGGTAAGCCATGGGGAGCTAAACTGTGTAATGTTTGTGGTGAGAAGTATTCTTCATGTATACTGTATACTACTTTTATATCTAGATGTCATGCTCTACGGATTGATTACTTCTTGGGTTATCGCTCACCTTAATAAATGACCCAGGCTTGTACTTAAGGTGTTTTGCCATACACAGGTGGCACCCCAACGACTGTGGCTGGCTACCAAGAACTTACGATCAATACACGTCGGCAACTTCCACTTCCGTGAGAGGCCACAGAGGTTAAATCTACAGTTTGGAACTCACTATCGCATTGTTTTAAGGTAATGTCTGTTTTTCACTGATTGACTACAGCCTCTGTATTCATTATTTGTTCTCTCCATTGGTTTTGTTTAGACTGGGTGTTCTACTACAGTACATATACTGTACTTCAGTATTGCTACCATTCACAGGTTCCAACATACCTGTGCTCTACTGTAGTATTTTCATGTTCCATGGCGTTTTTCAATTTCTATCTTGTTAATCTTCATGTTTACACCTGCTAAGGGAGTTCTTATCATTTTGCATGAGGTAGTGTGTTTTTGGCAGCACCACTAACTGGTTAGTGATTAGACTGATTACTAAACCAATTTTTTTAATTCTCTGAGAAAAATGTCTGGGAGGGAGGTACAGTTTGTGAACAGTAGAGTAGGTTCAAGACGGAAGGGGCTGTGAATGCTGGAAGTGGTATTGTGAGGATTATTTCAAGGTTAATAATAATAATAAATATTGGAGCTTTATTTCTCTAAACTGTCAGTCCTTTATCCCTTGTATATTGATTCCCCTCTAATAAAATAATCTGGCATAACCCAAATAAAATATTAAAAGTAGTATCCCTGTAGTGAAGAAGTTAAAAAAGAAAACCATTGGTGCTCAACTTACAGCGATATGTTAACCTTAACTGGTGGCTAAGTATTCCCTGCTCAACCTCCCATGTGTGTAAAAATGGAACAAAGGGAACATGAAACTTCCACTGATGATGGCTTTCATTTAAGGGTTAAGAGATCAATGAGAATAATACATATTGAACATCACAAATACAATAACAGTGAATTTAAAAAGCATAGGACCTTGCAAAAATGTACAGGTAGGCCCACTTTTAATTTTAGAGGGTCTCCACAGAGTTAAGCCATTTCAATTCCAGAGGCAGCAAAATAAATCATTGTGAGAAGTGTTGTGGTGTCCAGGGATGACAGCAAAGTGTCTGGCATGTTCACCCACCATGATAAAAGATTATTGACACTGCATGCATATCCCAGGGAGTGAGAGACTGTACAGTGTACATATCCCAGTAATTCATTTATTTTTCAATAAAATTACCACAACCTGAAGCACACTTGGACCAACAATACCGGTACTTCAAATCCGGTACAGTCTTCCCTCTTCAGAAAATTTTGGCCAGATTCCCAAGCCCAAATGTCACAAGAAACTTTCCATCCCTAAAGGCATTTCTTCAGGGTAGGAAGCAACAAAATTTACTAGGGAAAGATCTGGTGTTTAAGGTAGGTGATGGAGTTGTTCAATTTTTGTCTTCCCTATCACAACCATCACGAGGGAAGACTTGTGGGTGGGTAAGATATCACAGGATGTTGCAACTTTACTCTTTTCCTTGATTGTCTGTTAAAGTTTTCCAATTAACTTTGCACAGTAATTGGCAAACAGGACTCCTTCAGCATCTCAAAAAATGGATGCCTCCGATGTCATGATTACCAGCTGAGGGAACATGAAATCACCTAGGATGTGAAGGTGTTGAGCGTGTCCAAGCCATTCTTTGCTGTTTCGTCATGAGAATGAAATGATGAACTCATGTTTCATTCCTGGTGATGAATGAGGATGAAAAGTTCACTTTTGATGGAACATGTGCTGGGGACGTTGATGTCTTCATTCAAGTGTTGTTTGTTTTTCATTGGCCAAGAATCATGGCAGCCATCTTGCAGACACTTTGATGAGCTTCATAAGATCTATTAATATTGTGTAGTGCCATATGAAACTCCAACTGACTTAGAAAAGAATATGAACATCGGTCTATAGTCATTGGCTGGTTGGCATTTCCGTGTGAAACTTTGTAACACATAATTTCTGCTCACTACTTAACAATGGTGGAATAAGCAGGAGCAGAGACCCTTAATGAGTGTTGTATATTTGTGTGCACTTCATGAGGTGTTATACTCTCCAAAAGGAGATGTTTATTGACAGCTTGTACAGTACTGTTCTTCAGGTTTTGGAGTTGTCTTTCAACATCCCTCAAACTCGTGCTTCCTAAAAACCAATGTTAGGCAAATGATAGAATTTGGTGCACACTGTCAGAAAGAGTAATAGCTATTAAAGGCAGGTAATATTTAAGCCGAATACAGTAACTAAATTTTTTCAAGGTTAAAATATGAAATTTTGGATGCACCATTTTATGTGCGCATTGCTTTTATGTTTATGAATGAATACATATACCTGCTTATGCCTGCCCTGTTTTACTTATTTTTGCCCTGTAGTCATGATTTACTTGCAGTAGCAAACCTTGTCAGATGCTGCCACCCATGAACATATTTTATTATTTATTTTCCTTTCCTGTGGTGATCCCTGCTAACATGTACAGGTATCCCATATAGGTTAACAAGAATGCAGTTGAAAACACCTTGTCAACATATAGAATTGCTAATTACAAGTTTGACTTTTGGGGGGTAAAATTGACTCAAGTCCAATATCGACCAGATTCTACTAAAAGTTTTGCCCTAAACACAATTACTGTACCCAATATATTTTGTGGATATACTTTCCTTTAAACATTTATTAATAATTTATTTGCAAAAAGTAACAATACTGTACAAAACAGACAATCAATCTTGCTTAGGCCAATAACAGTTACCTAGGCTGAGTGTAGATATAGACTCAGACTCAAGGGGAAAGACTGTGACTAGTGTATTTTTCTCAGCTGAGAGAAGATGCCCCACCCCTTCTCAAGACTTACAGCTGATTGGCGGTTCCAAATCTGTCCGATTTCGTCCCGAAGTAATGATTTTTCTAAATGAGTTTATTCATGATCATTCTAACGAGAAATATATTTAGGTAAATTATACAAAGATGCATACATTCATTATTTCAAACATAAGTACGTAGGAAGTTTATCAGAAGTACAAGTATTATATACATGAATTAAATGTTAAACTCTGGGAGCAAATTCAGGCTTTCAGAGGATGCATTTAATCTATACTTATTATTACCCACAATAAGGCATACTAAGACAAAATTCGAATCAGTAATATTACATTATGCAAAAACTTACATTTTAAAAGATCAGAATCACATTGAAATATTTACACAGCTGTCAGCAGAGGCAGGAAATATGAAGTTGTTCGCAGTCATTTTTCCTGCCTCTGCTGACGGCCGTGTAAATATTTCTGTGTGATTCTTATCTTTTAAAATGAAAGTTTTGCATAATGTAATATTACTGATACATAATTTGTCTTAGTATGCCTTATTGTGGGTAAAAATAAGTATACTGTAAATTAAATGCATCCTCCGAAAGCGTGAATTTGCTACCTGAGTTTAACAGTTAGTTCATGTATGATTCTTCTAATAAACTTCCTACATACTTATGTTTGGAATATTGAATATATGTAACTTTATACAATTTAGCTAAATATCTTTCTCAACAGAAACAGTCATCCCAATGATTATTAATAAACTCATTTAGAAAAACATCATTAGTACTTCAGGACTAAATCGGACAGATTTGAAACCACCAGTCAGCTGTAAGTTTTGAGAAGGGGGCGGGGCATCTTTTCTCAGCTGAGAAAAAATGCACTATAGCAGTCCTATCCTTCTTCAGTGCACAGGAAATTTAAATGAGTACTCTTGAACATCGGATTTTATGTTAAAGTAAAAAAAATGGAATAAGTTAAAATTTGCTATCATACAAGTCACTGACTAATGGGAGATACCTGTAAGACCACTTACAGAAAGTTTGGGAACAATATTAAATTCTTAACTATTGTTTTTTTTTTTTTTTTTTTTTTTTTTTTTTTTTTTTTTTTTTTTTTTTTTTTTTTTTTTTTTACCTCTTTCTCCTCCTGCCTCTCTTTCCCTGTTATATCATCTTCCTTCACCGCTGGTCCTCTTCATGAAGCTGTTCGTTCCTGACACAGGAAACAAGGCTTATTGAAAGAAAATCGGTGTCTTTATTTACTGGGTGACCTTGATATCCCTGGTCCTATATTCTTATATTTTGAAGTCTTCTATTGTAAGTGCTTGTTTTTTCTGTGATGGCTGGTTGAGTGTGCAAGTGAGAGAAAAAAAGAACTTGGTTGTTCTCTGACAGATGTTATCAGAACTCAGCTGTTCTGTGACAGATGTTACTATGATGTGCAGGTTATGTGGAACAGCAGGAGCTGTGAGCAAACATCTAATATGGTCTCTGGTATTCTTTTCAACAGGGAAGTTGATGGAACAGATGAGGAGGTGCTTGAAGCTGTTGAGTCAATGAAGACTAAAGGGTTTATCAATTACTATGGCACACAACCGTTTGGCAACAACTGCATCTTTATGCGTGGTATTGGTTGTGAATTACTCAAAGGCAACTGGCAACAGGTGAGAGTGCTAAGCATGTGCGACAAGGAAGGGAATGGTGGGATGGACAGCCGCAGAGTGCAAGCTGTGGAAATGTGCTTTTGTAATTCGTGATGGAGTTTGAAGACTTGGAAGCTATATGGTTGCTGTAGAGGTTCAGGGGATTTTGGTGAGATTAAACTTTTGAAGGTAGGAGTGTGTAAGTGAGTGATTGAGTGAAGCAGTAAGTTAATAAGGGAGGTGTTTACGTGGATGAGTGTACAGTACTGAGGTTTATGGTTAACAGTAGACTGCGGTAGTGTTTCAAGACCCGTACATTACAACCACTTTGGCCGCTTGGTCTGTCTTCCATTACTTCCAGACGTATCCTAAGAGTCTGTCACTCATTATATCCTCAGATGTCCCCACCTCTCCGTCTCCGTTGTCTCTCCTCACTTGTGTACGTTACCGAACATCCACTCAAAACAATCTTTTATTGATAGCATACTTTTACATTAAACAACACACACACACACACACACACACGAGGGGTAAGACTTCCCTTTTTCACCTTTTGCGGCGTATTAAAAAACAGATCCAGATGAGAAGATGCGTGAATGGGAATTAAGATTTAATGGCAATAAATGGCAGTAACTTGGTATATTTTAATTACAGGCAGTGAACCTTATCCTTGCACCTCGTGACAATGATGTCCCAGACCTGCACCGATGCCACACCACATGGAAGGAGACTGGGGATGCAGAGGCTGCTCTCAAGATGCTGTGTAAGGGCTGGGAGGCTACAGTTGAGAACCAGTTATTAACTGGGCTCTCACAGTTAACAGGAAATGATCTCGTAGAAGCTCTAAACCGAGTAAGACTCTCTGTACATTTACTAGTTAAAACCAATATTTGAGCCTTAAGTTCCTAAGATAAGTGCTGCATTCTCTTGATCTTAGTATGGAGGTTTGTAACACCATCAAAGAGGCTGCTATTTGAAGTACCCAACACAGCCATCTCCTGTGCCTTCACATCTTTGTACAGTAACACTAATTAAATCTGTAAGTAGTAGACAATAATGAAACTAACCGATGTTCAGTAGTGTAGAAAGAAAATGTGGCCTTGATATTTGTTGCTTTATTTCTAGTACAAATGTTGAAGGCACACATGATAATATTTGCAGTAGTTTTCAAACTTTACAAATATATACATGTTGAGGAACATGGCAGCACAATATAAAAAGTAGGTCACTATGACTTAAATTTTTTGCTCTACTGTATTTGGTTAAATTTTAAGCTGATTTTTTGTATAATCTTTGCATTTATTTCATTTAAAATCATTTACTTTTACTTTCAGATCCCACGCGCCACTCGCACATTATATCTCCACGCATACCAAAGCTGGATGTGGAACACAATAGCTTCTCGGCGGTTCAAAAAGTACGGACTGAAGGTGCTGCCAGGAGATATAATCCGGCGCAAAGGCTCCAGCACAGAGGGGGAAGGTGAGTCATCCTTTGTTTCCTCACCCACATTGAGAGATGTCTTTCACTGTGTGGCTATCAGCGACATCTAGATTTGTTAGTGTGGATGAGAATTAACTTGACATATGACATGTAACAGCTAAGGTGCTCCGTTGTTTCCCTTTTCCCGTGTGATTTTATCAAGATATATATATATATATATATATATATATATATATATTATATATATATATATATATATATATATATATATATATATACAGTGGCCCCTCGGTTAACGAACTCAATCCGTTCCAGAAGGTCGTTCGTTAACCGAAATGTTCGTTAACCGAAACCATTGTTTCAATGGGTTTTTGGGTAATTGGTTCCAGCTCACCGAAAATTTCCTAACTTCAACAAAAATGGCGGAAAAATTTACTTACTTTGAGGTGTGTATGTAGAAGGCTCCTGGATGATGGTGATGATGTGCATTTGAAGTGGGAGGTGCAGGAGGAGAAGGGAGAAGAGAAGGAAGTGGAGGTGGAGGAGAAGCATTTTACTGCTTCTTGGAAGGTGAGTCACCTTCCATGAAAATGTCAGGAACCTCTGGACTGACAGATTCTCCACCATGAACATCCTCTCTCCTTCTTGAAGTGGAAGGCTGAGGGCTAGCATCTTGTTCCCTCTGCCTTTTACTGAAGAAAGTGTCAATTGTGGTCTGTGGGGCATCTGTCCTCCTCACCATTAACTTATGTTTAAAGAAGGAGACCACTGAGTCCTCAACATGACACAAAGTTAGTTCAGTTTTTTCCACTTCTGGGTGCTTTGAAGCCAGTTCCCTGAACTTCTCCCAGTGGTAAATCACATCTTTCAACTGTTTAGCTGACATATGGTCATCACTTTCAATTTCCTCCTCACCACTGTCAGCCTCTACCCGTAACATCTCATCCAGTTCCTTCAAGTCATTAGGAGTAAGTTCCTCCTCATGAGACATCACAAGCTCTTCCACATCCTTCTCCTCCACTTCAAGACCCAATGACTGACCAATGGACACAATCTCCTGGTCCAACTCTGTGTCATCCTCAAATCCCTCAAAATCATGGACTACTGATGGCCACAGTGCTTTCCATGAAGAATTGAGGGTTCTATTGGAGACTTCTTGCCATGATGACACAATCAATTTTACAGCCTCCAGGACGTTGAATTGTGTCTTCCAGAACTGTTTCAGTGTTAGTTCAGGATCAATGGAAGTTGCCTGATGACACCTCCTAAACATTTTCTTCATGTACAACTTCTTGAAGTTGCTGATCACATTCTGGTCCATTGGCTGTATGAGTGATGTAGTGTTTGGAGGCAAAAACAACACTTTCACAAAGTCAAATTTATACTCCAAATTTCTGGCAAGGTCAGGGTCATGACCAGGAGCATTATCCATGAGGAGAAGAGCCTTTAAAGGAAGTTTATTGGTGGTTAGGTAGCTCTTGACAGAGGGGCAAAACACATCAACAGCCCATTCATTAAAGAACTGTCTTGTCACCCATGCCTTACGGTTGGACTTCCAATAAACTCCAAGCATTGTTCTTACCACTTTCTGTTGCTTGAACACCCTGGGGTTTTCAGAGTGGTAGACAAGCATAGGCTTCAGTCGGAAATCCCCTGAAGCATTGGCACCAAGCAATAGAGTGAGACGGTCTTTCATGGGTTTATGCCCAGGTAAAGAGGCTTCATCCTTGGTGATGAATGTTCTTTTGGGCATCTTTTTCCAGAACAGCCCAGTTTCGTCAACATTGAACACTTGCTGTGGAAGATAATTTTCTTCTTCCATCAGTTTTTTAAATTCAATTAAAAACTTTGCTGCCCCTTCATCTGTTTTTCCCTAATCCAGATGATAAGTAACCTCTCAGTTTCTACGATTAGGGATCTACTTTTAAACACTCTTGTAGATTTGTCTCTCACGTTCACTTCCTTAAATTTGTCTTTTTGTGCAAGAATTGTCGACACAGTTGATGCCGACATGCCATATTCTTTGCATAGCGCATTTGATTTAATACCTTGTTCGTGTTTTTTTATTATTTCCTGCTTTATTTGGATTGAAATCACTTTTCTTGATCTCTTAGGCCCCATGCTGGATTCAAACAATGGCAACACGTATTTTTCAAAGTTAAACTAGCTGTAAATAAAGAATATTTTCTTTAAAATAACACTGCACTGCACTATATATTGTCAATATGTAAAATAATTTTCAAAATGACCAATAATTTGCTTGGAAACACAGAAAAAAAAGCGTTTAGTTGAAGAGAGTCTCAAGCAAGATGTTACCTCCAGTGAAAACAGAGAGAGACTAATGCCTGTTTGCTGTGTTAAGAGGCTGGATGCCCCGCATTAAACTAGTCACTTTACCTTCAATTTTGTTCAATAATTGTTAAAATGACTAAAAAATTGAATATTAAACTTTTAAAATTATTGAATAGTATAAACTTCTTGATATTTACAAAAATAGTAAGGAATTTAAGCCCTAGAACCGATTAATGTATTGGCGGACTGATACTAAAGCTGGTTGCCCGGTCAGTGCAAGCGAAAACATGTTGAGGTCGGTTCGTAAGAAGTTCGTTAAGCGAAATTTTTTTCGTTAACCGAATTGAAGATCCTTATGGAAGGCAGTTCGTTAATCGAAATTACGTTAACCGAGGTGTTAGTTAAACGAGTCACTGTATATATATATATATATATATATATATATATATATATATATATATATATATATATATATATATATATATATATATATATATATATATATATATATATATATATATATATATATATATATATATATATATATATATATATATATATATATATATATATAGTTGGTCCTCATATTACGCGGTTAATGTAACCCGGAGGGTCCCGCGGAAAGTGAGGAACGCGTAAAGTGAACAACATAACATATGGGATTAATTGAAATGGAGTCCAGGCCGATCCCCAAACTCCACTTTTTGACGACACACAACTATGTTGTAGTAAAAATTTTATCTTAACTTTATGATGGTATGAAAAAACAAGTAATATAGAAGAGGTTAGGTTAGGAAAGATAAAGGTTAACATAGGAAAAATAAAGGTTAGGTTAGAAAACTAAAAATTTTGTGTAACACTTACGGTAGTAGAAGAGATGGGTCGGCATACGGGGATGGAGGCTGGTTCCGAGGCAGAGGGCAGATTACTGGCCCTCAGGTGAATCACCATTACTAGGTGAATCATCATCACTGTCACTTACAGTTGTCAGGGCTTCCCTGACAAATCCCTCAAAGTCAACTTCACTGTCACCATCACTGGCTTGGGCTGGCTGTGGTGGGTTGCGGGTGAAGAAATCTGTTATGGTTTGCAGGTAAGGAAAGGTTTTTCTCTGGGGGTGGTGGTCCGGCGGAAGCCATTTTACGGAACAATGGATGCGAGTTTACACGGAGTGGCCTTGAAGGATGAAACTGCCGCGGCTAGGTCAAGCGTCGTCTTTCCTCCCTCCCTCCCTCCCCCGGGTGGACACGTCATAATACTTTAAGCCAATTACAGCTAGCAGCAGAGGAGGGTAGGGATGCATGGCCAATCACAGGTCTGATACGTCATATGACGTCAGTGATAACTCAACAAAGACACACACTGCGCAACCTTACCGCGCCGCTTGCCCAAGCGGAGGGAGGAGGAGGGAGAGGCAGGCGGGTGGCGCGGCGCGTGGGGAAAATCTAAAAATAGCGTCGCGCCGGACACTCCGCGTAATGGCGTTCGCGACCGCGGAATGTAAGAATGTTAGGTTCTGGCAAGGCACCGCGTTAACGGTGAAACGCGGAATGCGGGACCGCGTAATATGAGGACCAACTGTATGTATATATATATATATATATATATATATATATATATATATATATATATATATATATATATATATATATATATATATATATATATATATATATATATATATATATATACACATACATATACATATACATATATATACATATATACATATACATATACATATACATACAGTATATATATATATTGGATATTTCTCGCTTGCCTCGCTTGCCCTGTATAAGTACAGCTCCTCCCTGACTTACGACCACCCGCACTTACGACCTGCCTCAGTCCCTCGGTCGTACCAAAATTTGGTAAAATTACGTATTTTCGAGTCCCAAAATCAGTACACAGACAAAATTTTTGTTTGTAATTCACTTTAAAATGGCTGGCAAGCTTAAAAGTGAGTGTTTTGTGGTGTTGAGAAGAAAAAGAGACACTCATTTTCGATTTTCTATGTATTATTTAAGCATATCCGACTTACGACCTGGATTTGGGTCCCTAACCCCGTCGTAAGTCGGGGAGGAGCTAGTTGTTACTTGTGGGGTTGTGACAGTAACACTTAGGATGAGGGTTGCTGCAGTCAGTAAAGCAGTGAGAGATATAAAAATGAAGAAACAAAGGGGATTTAGTATGTGAAAAAAAATGCTGTATTAATGTTCAGTCTTAACACCCCCATTCTCTCTAACGTCGGGACTTGAAAATACGTAATTTGAAGAAAAAAAATTGGTACGACTGGGGCAGTCATATGTCCGGGTGGTCGTAAGTCGAGTAGTAGCTGTATATGCATTCACAAATGCGTTAAATTGACATGGACATAAATGTTAATTTTTGGGGGTTTAATCCCAGAAATGGAGGAAGAGACCAATGAGAATGAGGGCGAGAGTGAAGAAGGTAAGGAGGACTCCGATGGCAAGACCGAGATGGAGACATCCGAGACTAATGGCCAGAACATGTCGGGCTTCCATTTCTTGACTGAGGAGGAAGCCGAGGTGGCAGACATAGCTGACGTAAGTCTTGAGAACTTAGTATTAGAATGGGTGATTTTTAGGTTTGTCTGATGGTTAAAGTGACAAATTTACTTGTTGACCACTGGTGGTTAAAGTTATGATTTTACTTGTTGACCACAAGATGAGTAGGGAAGAACGTACAAGAAGTAATTACAGTATAGGGGATTAAGCCAGTCTGACTTAGAGGTTAATAACCTCTGTTGGTGGCCCCTAATATCAAAAATGTTGTCTAAAAAATTACCAAAACTCTAAAGAATGAAATATACTGTATATCCTATATTAAAAGAAATAATAACAATTTGACATTCCAGGGTACTTAACCTTTTCTCATATGATTGTTGGAGCCTTGGTGGGTTGAGAGAGGTACTGCACTATGGCGAGTCTGAATTGCCTAACATTAAAGTAAAAATACAGTTTGTACAATACTGTGTTACACCAAACTTAATTACATTACTGGGTAAACTTACAGTAAACTTAAATTTAACCATTTAAAACTATGTACTGTACATTAGTCATGATTTAATCACTGCTGGATGTCATCATATTATCTAGAAGTTGATGAGAGACTGGTGGTATACTACGCAGCCAGTTGCAACTCAGAATATGCATCAGCAACTCAGACTGAGTCTGACTTAGGAGAGTTTTACTGTACAAAATGTAAACACACTTCTTACAGATATTCATTGAGATCCCATTATTGCTTGTATGAAATCAGCAACATTATCCTCACTTGTGGCAGACCTCACATATCAACAAGTGAGGGCAATGTTGCTGTTGTAATGCAAATATTCACATTATCTCCACAAAAATCTATAAGGCAGTGAGTAATCAATTTGAGACACCCTGTACAGTATAAAGTTAGGTAAATATTTGCAATTTTCTCTCTTCTTACCTTCATTCTTTTGCACATCTTTTAGATACAAACACCTTAGAACCTGCTGTGGCCACTGTCATGTTAAACTATCATTTACATCCTGGCTTTATACTCATGGAAAAGAAAAACTTGCATTATCATAGGCACATGTTTTATGTAAAATTAATTTAAAATATTTTGTCCAGAGTTAATTGTAGTACAGTAATTTCATTGATATGGTTCAGAAAGTTTAATACAAACTATTTTTTGTTTCACCAAATATAATTTCCCTGAGGTTGTAAATTTCGTTGTAAAAGTATTGATGCAGAATGAAAAAGGGTTGCTTTCGTTTAGAATACAGTACCCTGTTTGTGAAACAGTGAGATGGTAGGATAATGAAAACAAAATGAAAATGGAATGAATTTAAGGGTATAATTCATTAATTGTGGAGTTGGGTGAAGGGGACACGTGTAATGGATCACCAGAGGTAAGATGCGACAGGTTGGTGTGAGAAGAAAATACTCGGCGGATGGGTGACGGGGTATAGAAATATAGGGAGGTATCTCTCAGGTCAATCAACCATTTTGTAAGAATACATGTATTCATAGGCTATAGGTGGGTAGAATACTGCATATACAGTAGTTACAATTGGAGAAACTCCTTACCATCAATGAAGAAAATTTTACTTATAGTAGAATTAGAGAAACGTCTTGCCTTCGGTCAAGAAAATTTTTCTTATAGTACATGTAATGAAATATTCAATGACTTTCAATGCCCTCAAACATGAAATCAAGTGAGTTTATTAGAGAATGGTTGCTGTTTTGGTTTTCCTTTGACATTTAATAAAAAAAAAATTTAGCTTATTGTACCAGGTGTCCATAAATTATCTTAATCATTTTAGGGACTAATAACTTCAAAAAACTTCGTAGATACAATAAGGTTCTTTTATTATACCTGTCATATAAACTTCCACATATGAATGTTGATCTGTCTGTAAATATTTTTAAGCTTGTTAAGTTTTAAAATGGGTAAATATATTGGACAACCTGTGTTATTTTTCTTAAACACTATTTTATTTTTTATTCATAAACATCATTAATGTTAATTTATACAGTATGTGAGCTATTGTCACTTTCAAACATCTTTCATATTAGTGTTGGTTTCATTGTTCGTTAGAATATATTTCACTGGTCTTGGTTTGGCTTTTATTTTACTGGGAATCACTCTTGTGTATCCATTGTATAGGATTTATCCCTAAAGGTCACTAATGTACAGTTCAGAAACACTCTTCTCAAATTGTTTTTTTCCAACTGTGAAAATATACACAGCAGATGGACCAGACAGGATGTGGATTATCTAAGTTTGGGCATTAAGGAAGGCCATATTAATAGATGTACTGTACAGCAGCACTTCATAGAACCCTGCTATAGTCTGTACTGATAGTATTTAAAGTTAGTTATATCTTATGAAAGTACAGGTATTTTAGTTTGTTAATTATTATTTCAGGAATTATAAACCATTTTCAACATTTGGCAGTATGGGAGATATTATTTGCTTGTAATTCCCTTGTTATTATTATGAACAGAAAGACTCGTATATGCTACACTCAGTATTATATTTAAATATTGTGCATCACCAGTTTCATAACTTGTTAAACCTATATGGTGGGAAGTTTGACCATACAGTTGTAACTGTGTCATCCGTATTATCATGTGAAGTGAGATCAATATGTATGTGGTTTATTACTTCTCCTTATCAATACACCAAAGGACATTCTATTTTTATTATAATAAGACCAAAATCAATTTACGTGTTCATTCTTTGAATTACTTTGCTGTGGACAGAGCGTATGCAGCACGTGGTGTCTACCGGAGAATGATGGTAGTACCATCAAATATCACAGGGAAACTTTGCTTCTACAAGGATGCATCTAAACCACTCCTGCAGTCAGATATGGACAAGTTGTGGGGAATCAAAGTTGAGGACAACATTCTCAAAGGTATTGTTCAAAGTTTTATTATTGTGCTACGGTCAATGAATATAAATCTCTTAAATGATGGGATTGTCTTTAAATGTATAGCAATTCTTATATACAGTCATGCGCCAGTTAACATCCTAGATACGTTCTTGGAAACGTGACGTTAACCGAAATGGACGTTGTCCGATCATCACATAAACTTTGTCTTTATGCTTACGTGTATGTGTAATACTATATACGTACATATACACTCTTACTCTTAAATCACTACTGTAATGTGGTGCAGGTGATTAATTTTTATCTCGTGCAAAATACATGACGTTTATATTAAAATTATTCACTGTCTTACGAGGATTCCAGCAATGCTGGGCAGATGGGGGAGAGGGAGGGAGGGAGCAGGAGGTGAGGTGGTACGTTGGACATTTGGCACCGGCCCAAGGTCTAACGCATGTTTATTTATCAATTCTTAAGTGACTAAGCTTCTCTCTTATAAAAAGCCAATGAAATGACCTGGGTGAATATAATTTACATTGCTGGGATTCTTTTAAGATGGTGATTAATTTAAATATAAACAAGCTATAATTTGCACTAGACATAACAATCTTAGTACCGTAATCAAATTAGTACTAAGGTCATTTATTTATTTTACGTTTCTTTTAGTATAGTGTGTGCATGTAAATGGATGAAAATAAATGAAGAAATTTATGTAAATCTACCTAAAAATACAGTTGAAAAACTTTATACAGTATTATAAAATATACACTAATGTACAACAAATTTTATCTCTTGAGCAAAGTATATGACATTTATATTCAAATTAATCTCTGTCTTGCAAGGATTTCAGCAATGCAAATTATATTCTCCTATAGTCTGAGATATTATATGAAAAACTTAAGGCCTAAAACCCCCCATGCGAGGGAGCGGGAGGTGAGGCGATATGATTTGACAGTTGGCGCTGAAGACCTGCGTGTTTATTTATCATTCCTTAAGAGTGACTAAGCTCTTCTCATAATTTGCCACCCAAACGACCTGGGTGAATATAACTAACATTGCTGGGATTCTTGTAAGATAGTGATTTATTTGAATACCTGTATAAACAAGCTATATTTGCAATAGACATAACAATTTTAGTACCGTAATCATTTAGTACATGTACTGTATAGTACATGTTTGCACTTAGGTCCATTGTTAACCGAGGGACCACTGTATTGCAGTGTACTTGTACAATATTGACTAAATTCACTAGATAATGTACACAATTAATGGTTGGTAAAACTTGTCAAGTAAGTGAGTGTCAAGTCTGTCAGTATGAGTGGCATGTGTGAGTGCTTGTGTCCCCCATCATAGGAGTCCGTTTTCTCTCGCTTCAGGATGCCTGAGTCCTCCGTTTTCTCTCAATCTTAGAGTGCACCAGACTTCGTTATTCCTTAGTAATGACACAGAATTTGAAATTGCAATTGTTGAGGCAACTAGATATGTCTGATTACAGCAAATATGTTATTGTCAATTTGTAGGTGAAAGATTTTATCCTCAATAGATGTAGGTTAACATTACATCTGGAGACAAATGCTTACTAAAGCTTAAGGAAGGAAGGAAGGATGTTCCTTTAACACATAATATTTGGCCAGTATGGGAAGGATCATCGTGTCTCCTTTTGGGGTCGTGGAGTGGTGGTTCAGCAGGCGTCACGGAAGTGTTTGGGGGGGGGGGTCACAGACGTATATGCGATTGGACGTTGACCGGCGCATGACTGTATATATTTATGTGCGTGTATACATAAATTGTATTCATACTTCTCAATTTAGAACTCCCATTTTGTCATTACTGTTTTTTCACCTCTTTTGGACAATGTATGGTAACTGCTGTTGTGTTTAATAAATTGCATTTTCTTAATGGTGTTGAAGGTGTTAATGTAAGTTTATTTCCTGCCAGAGGGATCTAACAAAGCCTGTATCCTGGAGATGACCTTGCCATCCTCTTCCTATGCATCTGTGGCATTACGAGAGCTGCTGAAGAGGGACACCTCGTGGCAGGTAAACTAGCGTAAAGTTTATGTGTTCATCACTTCATATATAGTATAGTAATCTCCCCGTTAGCTGGAATCCCTGATCCCCAGAGCTCTTCATTTGGCCAGAATGAAAATTGGGCCATGAAATCTCTCCATTCTAGGCCTACATATAGATTTTCCAGGCATTCCGAGAGATTGGATCACGTTTCAGCTTGTCCCCACGTGGGTGGCCTTGCTGCTTGGATCATTCAGTTCATATTCTGTTGCTATTGTACAGTAGAAGGTTGTTCCCACGCTTACTGCTATTTTTGCGTTAAAATTTTTTTGTGCATTATAATCAGCCAAGAATACAATTTTAAAGCAGTGTTAAGATGTAAAAGGTGATTATAATTACGTATACTGTACTGCAAATTCAGTAAGTGGGGAAACACTCGAGTACCCTAGCTTTCGTCAGGGTGACCTGACATTGCATCAGATCAATACCTTCTGTGGGCTCAAGACAACACCATCTGCTGCTGAGTACAGTATAGTAGTGTACATTATTTTGTTTATTTACAATATACAGTAAGTCCTCGCTTAACGTCGTGGTTCCGTTCCTGAAAACCGCATCGTTAACGGAATCAATTTTCCCCATAAGAAATAGATAAAATACGGGAATTATGTTCCTGAGCCTCCCTTTGCCCCATGAAATACATTATATCCTTTGCCCCATGAAATACATTACATATACAGAAATTCAATGGCATTTTTATAGAAAATAGTATAAATCGTATATAAATAAACTAAATCATTTTGTATTGTACTCACTGATGGATGGAGGTGATGGAGCGGAGGAGGAGGGTGGCTAGTCACCGAGACCCGGCCAGGTTTCGAACCCACGGCCCACTATCCCATGACTGTGACCGGGGAACGCTAACCGCTGGACCACCACATTTTTTATAACAATGTATTTTCATAAAAAAAAAAATTAGTCCCCCATCATTATATCGAGCTGAAATATTTGGTTTAAGGATCTTTATTGGAATGGTCTTGTTGAGAATTTATTCAGTATCATTATGGTACCAAATTCATATCTAACAATGCAATTAAAATAGATGTTGTGAATAAAAGTTTATACACTTTTTCTCTAGCCATAAATATTTTTGCTTGTGCCCACAGTCTAAATGTAATGGGAGATGAGATGTGTAGTTTAGAGTTGAGATGAGATGCATAGTTTAGACTCTCTTAGATCTTTGGAAAACTTTCCCCTGCCCCTAGAAACATTCCAGGGATGTGTGATAGTGTATGTCCGTGCGAGATGCATAGTTTAGACTCAAAAAACTTCCCAATAGTGCCCAGAAAAAATCTGGGATGTGGGATTTTATCTGGGTTTAAGAGTCGTTTCGTTACCTGGAAATCTCATTCTTGGTAGAGCTTTTCACCAATTGTTCTGGCTAACGAGGACATAACTACACTGTAATGTCTTCTGTCATCATCTCCCATTTCCTAGGGCTTACTTAAAGGAACTACATAACTATCCATTAATAACAAAACATCATTATTTGTGTCTAAGAAGAACATGTGTGCTTAATTCCATTTTCTTCACTGCTTTCCATCTTCTCTTTCTTATTGCATGTGATGTTTACATCCTTGGCTCAAATGACGCTTGATTTTTGCCACATTATGTAACCTTTCATTCAGACTCATATTTTAGATCTTGCCTCACTAGTTTAACTATATTTTCCTTTCTGACTAGATCAGCTTACTCTAGACTTACTCACAGCCAACGTCCATGTATTTACCCAAATTCTATCATGTCTATTTGTATTGAAATGGGTTTCAGAATTAATGTGGTCTTTATTTATAATGTCTTTGCATTTTCTTGTGGCCAAAATTTACCATTTCTATAATTGGTCATTTTGATATTGTATATTCCATTTCATGGTTTATAGATCCCTCTGGAAAAGTAAACAGCATCGAGATAGCTTAGGGAAGACAAATGAGGGATTAGTTTTCATAGTATTTTCTGTTACTGATAAAAATAAACATCAACAAATGGGTTTTACAAATCATCATCATTGTCAACATTACATGGTCAGTTTCATTTACCTCTGTAAAAGTGGGTAGATGAAAATGTGTACAACTACATAGTATGGCTTTATCTAATCAACTCTTTGGAAGAGTATTGCTGGCTGGCTTTTTGTTCACATGACCATTATTGATGAATTTCTTCTTTACGTTAAGGTTCGTAAATTAACCAGGTTTTTTCATCAGTTTCAGGCTGCGCAAAATATGCCCAGTAATGTAATTGATCGAAGTAGAGATACAAGTGGAAGGGGTAGAGGAGGAAGAGGAGGATGGAGAGGATCTGATCGAGGATCGTGGAAGCCAGCACCGTGGGCATATGGTTCAGCCTGGCAACAACAGGGAAGAGGTGGAGGAAGGGGATCATTTAGTCCATGGGCAGACCAGGGAGGTTTTAGGGGTCGGGACTATGGATGGAACAATAATCGTGGAGGAGGAGGAGGGGGGTATGGAGCGCATGTTATTTACGGTGCTACTACAGGTGGATGGGGGCGAGGGGATAAAAGGATCTGGAGGGGGGGTGACAGCTGGACTAATAAGAGGGGAAGATATTGAAGAAATGGCTTATCCACCCATATTATTTTGGGTTAGAAGTAAAATGCAAACTTGCAAATTGTAAAGTTTGATGTCCATAGACTGTTGTTCTTGTCTGACCTCTATGTACTTATGTGTTGGTCTTTTGAGACATTTGTAAGGGCTTACATGTTCTGAAATACCAAAATGATGTTCTAAGTTAAATTATTTTTTTTTTTTAATACTTTATCCAAATTTAATGTGAAAATTTAATTATGAAAAGGAAGACATTTTATAGTGGTGGGACTGTGATCATGATTGCTTTTATTATAACGTTCATTCTCATCTAACCGTGAAATGCCGTTTGGTTGAACATGCCTTCAGTACATAAAAAGGTCTGCAGTTCCAGCAATGATGTTTGTCAATTTAACATATTAGAATATACTTTAAGCAAATTTCTTTTTATACTGTCAGTATGCTATCATAAGTTTTGCTGTAGTATATAACAGCTAATTGTATCAATTAATTTTAATGGATTTTGAATGATGTGAAATATCTGCAGGTAGAAGGAATTGGTTTGATTTCTGATAAGATTTGCATGCAGATTAGGTTGTATGGATTCATATGATAGGAAGAAACCAAGAGTTAGTTAGAGATGATGTAAAGCTCCTGAATGTTTTAATATTAAGGAAGATGTAAATCATTTTTGTGTCTGGCATTGTCAGTTTGCAGAGAATGATTTAATAAAATGATTAGAAATTTTCATGGGTTTTCTTTCTTTTTATTTTTTTAAAGCAAAATATAGGTATCCCCCATCTATGATATTCCGCTTTAATAACATGATCACACATGGCCGTGATCATGTAGCTCAACGATTATCGGTGTTATTACATATCAGGGTTTTTACATCGGTAGCATTCACATTGTACTCTTGTCACAAAAAACCGCAAAAATCACTTCAGTTACCAAAACAAAGCGCTTTGCCTCTTATGAACATGATACAAGCAGTGTCAGCGAGAACAAACTATCATTCGCTCTGTATTTTGTAACTGAAAATATCTGGGAATGCTAAAGTAAAGTACCCAGGAAAACTGTCTGTGGAAGTGAAGCTGTGTGGGCATCAGAGTGACAGCACTCCACCTTCAAGAGTCCCCTTAACCTTGAAGGGGACATGTAATGATGGCGAGTGTTGTAGGCACAGTAAGTTTTCGCTTAACGTCGGGATTACGTTCCTGAAAACGAAGTTATACGTAACAAAGTTAAGCAGATCAATTTTCTACATAAAAAAGATAAAATTCAGGAGTTACGTTCCCCAACGAAAATAAAACACCTTTTTAAAGTACCTATCCCAATACCCACCTCATTTAAGTCCCTCTATTCATTTTTGTTCACTTGCCATTCTTATTTCAATAGCATTTGCTTTAAAACATTAACCACTTTTGTATAAATATGAACCAGCACCAAACCCATGAATAATCATAGGAAAAGTAAAAAAAACATAATACTTTAATAAAACGTTTATTAATAAAGTACTGTACGGAACATAAGCAGTATCCAAAAACCCGATTCACAGCTGGGACTAAGTTCACGAATCCTGTAACTGTCTCCTGTAACTGTCGATGCACTTGGGCCACAATTTACGCCTCACACCATTCAGGCAACTTTCTGAAACCTCTTCCCATGCCTTGCCAATGTTGTCAGTTGCATGAAGAATATTGAAGCCACACCAATATTCTCAGATCATAGATTTATTTTCTCCATCTGTAGCCTTGAGCAGCTGGGCCATGGTACCCCGTAAATAATACGCCTTGAATGCGGTGATGACTCCTTGGTCCACAGGCTGCATCAGTGTCGTCGTGTTGGGATTCAGAAATACAACTTTTAAACAGTCATGCAAGTCGTCGAGATTGGGAGGATGAGCTGAAGCATTGTCAACACTCAGAAGAATTTTGAAGTCAAGGTTCTCCTTGGCACAGTATTCCTTCATTGCAGGGACGGCGTACACGTTTAACCACTGGCTAAATATGGTGCCAGTTAGTTATCCATGCCTTCTTGTTTGCCTTGTAAATGACAGGAAAGTGATCCTTAGAGTAACCTTTTAGGGCCCATTGGTTAGCAGCGCGAGAAATCAGCATAGGCTTCAGCTTGAAGTTTTCGGCAGCGTTCGCGTCAAGCGGTCTTTTGCCTCTTTAAAACCTGGCGCTCTTTTCTCCTCTTTGGAGATGTAGGTCCTCTCAGGCATCCTCTTCCAAAAGAGACCAGACTCATCCACATTGAAGACTTGTTTCGATGAGTAGCCTCCTTCCTGGATAATCCATTTGAATTCTGTCGGGATTGTCTCTGCAGCGACCGTAGCTGAACTGGCAGCTTCACCAGTCATCTTAAAATTGTGGAAGTTATAGCTGCGCTTAAATCGTTGTAACCGGTCTCTTCCTTCGATCCTTCACCCTCTGTTTCCTTCATGGCATCAAACAAGGATCTAGCCTTATGCTGGATAACCATGAGGCTCACAGGTGCATTGCATTGGTCCTCCATTCACATAGCCAGCACCTTTTACATTTTTTCTATCACAGTACTTCTAGTATGAGTTGTTTTAGATGCACTGAGAGTAGTACCACTTCCAGCACTAACCTTAATCTTGCCAGCGTTGGTCCGGATAGTACGCTCCATTGTGGTGGTTAAACCAAGCACAGCCGCTATGTCCACAGCACGTTCCCCTTTTTTCAAATCGGATTAATTCATCCACTTTCCTAGCAAGGGTGATGGTCTTCCGTTGCCTCTTCACTACACTAGCATCAGTAGCACTTGATGGGCACTTGGAAGCCATTTCGAACGGTCAGAGTACAGTTTTGGAGCAAAAGCACTTAAGCACACACGAATGATGTGAAGTCGTAACAGAGACTGGCTTGGCGTCGCTTAGGGATGCCGTGACGTTCCGGGAGTGAGGGCACCGCGCCGAGAAGAGAGAGCGTAGCGCGGCCAGAAAAGAGCGGGTGATGTGTCATAGAAAGTAGTCCGTGACGACACAGAACGGTGTAGTATCGGATCACCTGGATGTTCAACGAATTTTTGGTCTCTAGCAGCGTAGTACCGAAACAAAGTTAAGCGGGATGATGTTATACGAGGACTTACTGTAATGTATAAGTGTAGGTATTTGTTTTTCCTCCCGTGATGCATGTGGGTGTCCAACTGTTTAGGAACGTATCCAATTGAACCCCTTGTTATAATGATCCCGATTTATATCTCCACTGACTTTCTTTTTTTTTTTAGGAACCTAACCCCAATCGTAAATAGGGGGAGGAATATCTGATGGTAGCCTTTTCAGTGATTTGTTCATGTTAGTCCCAGTATTTATTGAGATTACTTTCCTTTCATCTATTTCTTCATAATGAAAGCTATGTGGTGATCATGTTTTCTACAATATTCAGTTACATTTGGGGAGAAATAAGCACCATAAAAAGAATGACCACTGTATTTTATCATGTCAAACAAATGTGATGGCGTGCTGCAACTTACACTAAAATGTTTCACATCTAGTGATGTATATAGTTCTTATTTTTTTCCAAATACTGTATGTATAAAATATTTATGCATAAATAACAATATTAATCTACCCATTTTAATGGGTTATAAATGATAAATTCCTCTTATAAAAGAGACAGTCCTTCATAATAAAAGTAACAACCCTTAACACCTGACAAAAAAGTTGCTGTGTGTTTCAGCAACCATCCATAAAATGTACTCACCCATGAACATCAAAAGATTTTTGAACTTGTACATGCAATGTCAACTGCAGCACCACTAACTACTCTATCATGAACTTTAATAACTAGTTTAACATTCACACTAAATGCATATGACCAAAATGGGTCACTGAATGCAAATAATTTTTTTTATTTAAATAACTGGAACTTATCCACTCTTATTGCAATTACATCCTAATAAACATTTCTTAGTTCTACAGTGAACAGTAATGTTGCTTGAGGTGGAATGTCTGGAGGAGCTCCTTGCTTGCCATATCTATTGGAAAAAGATGCATGTAAGAGCACTGCAAGCATAAATCAGACTACAGGTAATTGAACATACAAAAATAAACTGAAGCACTTGCTGCAGGCAAGGCGAATAAAATGTAACAGCTAAACCAACCAAATTTACTCGTTTGGGGATTAATAACACGTCTGGCTGAAATCGAGGTAAACATGCATGACTTGATAAAATGAACCTTCAATTAATTTGGAATTTGCTTATATATGACAGGTTTTGGTGCTGCACATTTGCCACAATAACCCCACGCATGCTGTGTTAAGTAAGGTGATTTGGCTCAACCTAGAAAGTGTACTCAGTAATTTGGCCATCAAGGGATATGCCTGGTACCATAACCCCTTCGCAATGGGGATGCCACTTAAAAAGGGAAGTTGAGAGTCTTAGACAAGTATCCCATCACACTCACATGCATTACTTTGCCACTACTGTACAGTATTAAGTCCTTAAGAGCATCAAGGGTGTCAGGAATCCTTTGTCTTGATGACTTGGGATTACGGAGCGTTCCAGTGAATCGGGTATTGGTGATTTCATTGGAGCTCATAAATCCAGGTGTATTGTATATATTATATTCTTAAATTATTTGGACTATTTTAAAGTTACATTTTTGTTAGGAAATGACCTTGCTCGTTCTAAAGTGGTACCACAACCAGTTGTGTCATGAAAGAAAATCAAATTAATTCCCTTGATGATTAAGATGATTTACATATTAATGATTTGTACAGTGGTACAAGTTTAGATACACTTAATAATGTTCCAATCACTACTGATGCACCGATTAAAAGTCAAATGGGGGATATTAAGCTCCGCACAATCTATGACAAGTCTATAGACGAATCAGACATATTTAAACTCCTTACTTGCTATTACCTCAAGTCAGGTATTCTAAATCGCAAGTACAGACGTCATGTTCCCACCAATGAAGTTTGGTCAGAAACACATCAGATTGCCGTTCCTACTAAACTTAGATCAACTAGTATATTAACCCTTGCACATGACTATAGTGGTGGTCATCTTGGAGTAAATAAGACCTATCACAAAATCCTTCAACATTTCTATTGGCCAAAGTTACAACGTGATGTAGGTAAATATTGTAGAACTTGTCATGAATGTCAACTAGCAGGAAAACCAAATCAGACCATTAAAGCCAATTCCAGTAGTTGAATATCAGACCATTAAAGCCAATTCCAGTAGTTGAATAACATTTTAACACTATCACAATAGACTGTGTAGGGCCCCTTCCTAAAACTAAAAGATAACTAATTCCTTCTCACAATGATGTGTTGCACTACTAGGTATCCTGAAGTTATTTTTTAAGATGCATAACTACAAAGAAGGTTTTGAATGCAATGATTGCATTTTTCACCCAATATGGAGTTCCAAAGGTAGTCCAGTCCCCAGGGTTCAAATTTCACCTCAGGGCTATTCAAGCAAGTTATGAAGGAGATGGGATTATGTCAGTACCTAGCAACAGTATATCATCCGGAGTCCCATGGGACAGTAGAGAGGTTTCACCAAGACTCCAAAAAGCATGGGGGGCCTGACCAAGGAGTTATCATTTAAACATTTAATTGCATTAAAGCATTTAATTAACAACCATGGGAGATTTTGTTCTTGGTGAATTTGTGGAGGATCCATCAGTAGAACAGTGTAGTAAAGAAAGAGGACTGGATTTCATAGACAAAGACATATAAAGTAGAATTCAAAGCTTCAATGACTAAGAGTATGATAAATAAGTCAGTGATTTGTTGGTTAACAGAATTACAGTATGTTGAGAATACCTCCAAATTGATAACATTAAAGAAAATAAATACCCAGACAACACCAAGAGAATTGGGGAAGCAGCTCCGACTTACAGCAGTCGGTGTCAAGAGTAAAACCGACTCAGCTGGCTTTTCCCAACCTGACAGGTGGATGGAGGGAATTTGAGGTCCTCTGGTGTTCATCACTGGAACCACAGTAACTAGTCTAATGGCTGTTATGCAGAAACTAGCTAATTAGAATAAACCAAAATCAACTAAATAAATGTAGTATTTTAAATGTCACATTACCATACTACAAAATAGTCCAAATAATTTACCTAGAATATAACATATACAATACACCTGTATTTATATGAGCAACAAAATCACCAATACCCGAGTCACTGGAACACTCCGTAATTCCGATTCATCTCGACTAAGGATTCATGACAAGGGAATGAGACAGACTCCAAATATCACAAGTGTAGAGAGATGATGTTATATCATTCATATCAAGTGTAAGAAGTACAGCAATCAGAAGTAACTTACGCCATGTGTGGAGGGCAGGTAATTTTTCTTATGCCTCCAACCTTCATTCCTTCAAAGCCAACATCCCAGCCATTGATCACTTCTCCTTTGCCCAGTCGGAACTTGAAGCCCTTCCCAGTGTTCACTGTGTCAAACACCTTCTTAGTACTCATTAGACGTCCCTCATAATGCACTACCAACTGTGAATGAAGGGAATCGTATACCTTAAATTAAATTCCTGTGGATATGAAGAAAAAAAAAAACTAAATATTCAAGTGACAAAGCTCCTGCTTTGACCCTACACTTTATTCAAGAGAACCATATCTTCAGCTCTGGGATGAACAGCACAATGTGGTTAGCAAGCAGGCAGCAATATTCATACATACCATTTTCCCTTTCTTAGCTTCTTTTCCAGTGCCAACCTTAACGTCTACACACGTCACTCCGCCTGACAGCACCACCTTTGGAGGTTTACTAGGAGTCTGTGATGCCCCTGGAGACTGCACTGTCTTTGGAGTGTTTGTATCAGGAGTCTTTTTGGGTTTAACTGGTAAAGATTTTATATCAATTAAAAATTTTGCATCACCTAAAGAATCTGCACCCCCATCTTATTTAACTTAAAGATTAACCATCCTAACACTATTTGGGGAGATAAGTGTGTTAGGTTGGATAATCTTTATGTGAAATAAGCTGTGGTGCAGATTCTTCAGGTGGTTTGACTATGTAAGGCAAATGCAAACACCATCAATTTCCCCGAGACCTGACACTACAGTTTGCTCTAATATGCAAGTTTTAACTCTAGTAAATCTTTATTGATGTTAAAACCCCATTCATCTGATGCCTGGCCAGGTGATAAGGTAAAATTCATCTAAAGAACATCCAGTTATTTTCCCATGATATGTAGAACAAATTCTGAAGAGCATTTTGAAATGCTTTTATGGGTTTCCCAGACTTTTCCTTGACCTTTTCAAAACAATTCTTACTAAGCCTGCCATGATATTCTGACCTGTGGCAATCCTGATCTAGCTCCCTCTTCTTAATGAAAATTATCACATGTTTAACTAAACTACAGCCCCCCATAAAAATTCACGGGGGATAGATTCTCAAAATGGTCGCGAATCGCCAAATCCGCAAATAACATTTGTGGACCAGAAGGGGAGGGGGTTACATTTTTACTTGTGTACAAAGAAATGTATGCCCTGTATTCCCTTTATGTGTTTGCCCTTAGGACAATTATTTCTTTTACCTGTATTGTATATTTGTGTGTGTGTTTGTGTAGACACACACACACAAAACACATACTGTACAAATAAATAATACAGGTACACTAATGGGAAAATACTCACAAATAATAAAAACAAAATATTAAAAATGTGAGTTTACCCCTAACTCTGTACTTTATTTATAAAGTAATAAAGCAAGGACTTGAGGGTAGACTCACATTTTTAATAAAAAAATTCTGATTACAGTATTTGTGAGAGGATTTTCAAATTATTATTTAATTGTATGTGCTTTGTGTGTGTGTCTCTACACACACACATATTTACAATACAGGTAAAGGAAATTACTGCCTCTAAAATGAGTGGCTCCCTGTCCCAGCTGTGAAATGCCAACAACTTTTGAAACTACCCACAGACATCTTGGGTACATCCAGGGTGTCATCTGCAAATAATAGAGGACCGCGAAATAAAAATCTGCAAACTTGGGGGGCCCCCAGTACAATAAGATGCAGCCATGGTATTTACCTGAAAGCTCTCCTGAATAATCCTTCACCTTCTGTGCATTAACATGCACTTGCATTTCTTGCTTACCTAGAGCTTTCTCATGCTTTTCTTTTGTCTTGTTTGGTGTTTTGGATTCATCCTTCGGAAGTTTGTCTTTCTTCGGGCTCTTTGTGGTGGGTGATTTCTTTTGTTCAACTGGAGAAGAAAAAAAAACTATGTTATAAAATATATACCTTTCCCTGACCTAATACATCATATCTTGCATACTAAACTGCATATCTGTACTACAAAGGTCAGTGTTGACCTTACCTTGGCTGACCTCTACTTAACTGCCTGGCTTTTGTGTTTTGGGAGGAAGAGAAGGGATGGACCCAGCGAAGTTGCTGTTAGGAATTTTGAGGCGGCCAGTTTGTGTGGCTTTAAGTAGTGTGGACAGTCCATGCTGATCTGTATACCCGCATTGTCTATATACATGTTGAACTGTATACTGTACCTATATTATCTATACTGTACAGGGTGTCCCATAAATTTCCATACATAGGAAAAATAAATTTTATATTAAAATCCATTTTTATTTATATAATATGCTCTACATGACTACCATTCTGTTGAAAACACTTCAATGCGTGTCCTCCACTGCTGAAGAACACGTTCAAGCTTGTAATGGCGTTGGTGATACGTTGTATGGAAACCTATGGGACACCCTGTATAATGCTGAACTGTACACCTGCATTATCTATATACAGGGTACTGTACATACTGAACTGTTTACAGTGTATGTATACTGAACTGAATACATCTGCATTGCCTATATACATATTGAACTGTACACCTGCAGTGTCTATATACATCATGAAATGTATACCTGCATTGTTAATATACATATTGAACTTTATGGCTACCTTGTTTATATACATATTGAACTGTATACCTGCATTGTCTATATACATACTGAACCATATACCTGCAGTCTATATACACACTGAACTGTATATAAACTGAACCAAATGTAAACTTGTGTGATGATATTACAGAATAATTTTTTATCAACTTAAATAGAAATGATGACTCTGAAATCATGTCACACAATATTTTCATGAAGCACAAATACCACTTGGTCAAGAAACCTACACGAAGAGTTCCTACGTCTTATAACAGGTTAAGTATCAAACCATACAGGTTAAATAACACCATACATAGATTAAGTGACAACTACTAGACAAGTTAAGTAATACTAAACAATCATTACACCAACACAGCTTCTCACGAACAGAACAAACACATTAGTCAATTTACCCTTCTCGGGGGCTGCTTCCTTCTTGTCATTCTTATCACTGCCAGGTCGCTTACCGTCCACCATGTCATCCAATTCTATATTGAAAAATACCATATTTAACATGTTTTTATAGGTTTCGGAACTGGTGAGTATCATATCGGCAATACTAAAAATAAACTTAAATTGGGTTCCCTTAAACTACTATAGTCTTCATATTTCACTATGTGGTTAACTGCTGATACAGTGACCCCTCGTTTAACGAACACCTCGGTTAACGTAATTTCGATTAACGAACTGCCTTCCATAAAGATCTTCAATTCGGTTAACGAAAAAAATTTCGCTTAACGAAGTTCTTACGAACCGACCTCAACATGTTTTCGCTTGCACTGACCGGGCAACCAGCTTTAGTATCAGTCCGCCAATACATTAATCGTTTCTAGGGCTTAAATTCCTTACTATTTTAGTAAATATCAAGAAGTTTATACTATTCAATAATCTTAAAAGTTTAATATTCAATTTTTTAGTCATTTTAATAATTATTGAACAAAATTGAAGGTAAAGTGACTAGTTTAATGCGCGGCATCCAGCCTCTGAACACAGCAAACAGGCTCTCTGTTTTCACTGGAGGTAATATCTTGCTTGAGACTCTCCAACTAAATGCTTTTTTTCTGTGTTTCCAAGCAAATTATTGGTCATTTTGAAAATTATTTTACATATTGACAATATATAGTGCAGTGCAGTGTTATTTTAAAGAAAATATTCTTTATTTACAGCTAGTTTAACTTTGAAAAATACATGTTGCCATTGTTTGAATCCAGCATGGGGCCTAAGAGATCAAGAAAAGCAATTTCAATCCAAATAAAGCAGGAAATACTGTAATAAAAAAACACGAACAAGGCATTAAATCAAATGCGCTATGCAAAGAATATGGCATGTCGGCATCAACTGTGTCGACAATTCTTGCACAAAAAGACAAATTTAAGGAAGTGAACGTGAGAGACAAATCTACAAGTGTGTTTAAAAGTAGATCCCTAATCGTAGAAACTGAGAGGTTACTTATCATCTGGATTAGGGAAAAACAGATGAAAGGTGATTCAGTTTCTGGTGATTTCATTTGTGAAAGAGCCAGGGAGATTTATGAACATTTAAAGGCAGATCAACCTGGTTCTTCAGGAACAGAATTTGAAGATTTTCGGGCTAGCAAAGGCTGGTTCGAAAAATTTAAGAAAAGAATGACATTTTAAGTGTTGTTAGGCATGGTAAAGCTGCTAGTGCTGATAAAGAAGGGGCAGCAAAGTTTTTAGTTGAATTTAAAAAACTGATGGAAGAAGAAAATTATCTTCCACAGCAAGTGTTCAATGTGGACGAAACTGGGCTGTTCTGGAAAAAGATGCCCAAAAGAACATTCATCACCAAAGATGAAGCCTCTTTACCTGGGCATAAACCCATGAAAGACCGTCTCACTCTATTGCTTGGTGCCAATGCTTCAGGGGATTTCCGACTGAAGCCTATGCTTGTCTACCACTCTGAAAACCCCAGGGTGTTCAAGCAACAGAAAGTGATAAGAACAAAGCTTGGAGTTTATTGGAAGTCCAGCCGTAAGGCATGGGTGACAAGACAGTTCTTTAATGAATGGGCTGTTGATGTGTTTTGCCCCTCTGTCAAGAGCTACCTAACCACCAATAAACTTCCTTTAAAGGCTCTTCTCCTCATGGATAATGCTCCTGGTCATGACCTTGACCTTGCCAGCAATTTGGAGTATCAATTTGACTTTGTGAAAGTTGTTTTTGCCTCCAAACACTACATCACTCATACAGCCAATGGACCAGAATGTAATCAGCAACTTCAAGAAGTTGTACATGAAGAAAATGTTTAGGAGGTGTCATCAGGCAACTTCCACTGATCCTGAACTAACACTGAAACAGTTCTGGAAGACACACTTCAACGTCCTGGAGGCTGTAAAATTGATTGTGTCATCATGGCAAGAAGTCTCCAATAGAACCCTCAATTCTTCATGGAAAGCACTGTGGTCATCAGTAGTCCATGATTTTGAGGGATTTGAGGAAGAAACAGAGTTGGACCAGGAGATTGTGTCCATTGGTCAGTCATTGGGCCTTGAAGTGGAGGAGAAGGATGTGGAAGAGCTTGTGATGTCTCATGAGGAGGAACTTACTCCTGATGACTTGAAGCAGCTGGATGAGATGTTACGGGTAGAGGCTGACAGTGGTGAGGAGGAAATTGAAAGTGATGACCATATGTCAGCTAAACAGTTGAAAGATGTGATTTACTACTGGGAGAAGTTCAGGGAACTGGCTTCAAAGCACCCAGAAGTGGAAAAAACTGAACTAACTTTGTGTCATGTTGAGGACTCAGTGGTCTCCTTCTTTAAACATAAGTTAATGGTGAGGAGGACAGGTGCCCCACAGACCACAATTGACACTTTCTTCAGTAAAAGGCAGAGGGAACAAGATGCTAGCCCTCAGCCTTCCACTTCAAGAAGGAGAGAGGATGATGCTAGTCCTCAGCCTTCCACTTCAAGAAGGAGAGAGGATGTTCATGGTGGAGAATCTGTCAGTCCAGAGGTTCCTGACATTTTCATGGAAGGTGACTCACCTTCCAAGAAGCAGTAAAATGCTTCTCCTCCACCTCCACTTCCTTCTCTTCTCCCTTCTCCTCCTCCTCCTCCCACTTCAAATGCACATCATCATCATCATCCAGGAGCCTTCTACATACACATCTCAAAGTAAGTAAATTTTTCTGCCATTTTTGTTGAAGTTAGGAAATTTTCGGTGAGCTGGAACCAATTACCCAAAAACCCATTGAAACAATGGTTTCGGTTAACGAACGACCTTCTGGAACGGATTGAGTTCGTTAATGGAGGGGTCACTGTATTGTAATTACAGTGTGCGCACACATACATACACCCTTATAGATTTTTCATGAATGTTTGTATTAAATCAGCAACTCTGTCTTTATTTGGGGCAGTCCTCATACATCAACAAGTGAGACAATTTTGCTATTGCAATCACATGAACTACTGTAAAAAAATTCTACAACACCCTCTATATATACAGCAGTGGTCTCCAACCTGTAGTTCGTGGACGTCATGGCAGCCACGGAGCCATATTATGGAGCCCGCAAGGATATATTAAAAATACTAATACAGGTACTGTACTATTATTTTAACAGAGAGGAGGAGGGAGGTAACTGACGAGTGTCTCAGTGCACCTAATATTACTACAGTACATAAGAAAGAATAAATATGGCTTAAAGTTCTAAAAAAAGTCACAATCACACTTTTCACGATGAATGGGATTGAATATTTATTTATTTATTGTTTTTTTTACAAACTTTAGAGATAAGTGTGTGTGTGTGTGCATAAATTGCCATGCAACTGTTGCAGTCACCAAGAAAGGCAATGTAGAGTGTCATTTTGTTACAGTTCACCAAAATTACATAACTAAATATCTTTCTAACAGTGCTTTAAGGAGCGAGAAAGTACAACAATAAAAAGATAAGTTGCTTGCCCAACAAGATACCTTCCGGAAACCAATTTCCAAAGCTAGAGCATCAACAGTGGCATCATATAGTGATGCTCATGTTCTTGCAAAAAAGAAAAAAATATTTGAGGATGATAAAACTCTGAAAGGCTGTATGCTTGCTTCTGCCTAGTCCTTGTTGCAAGATTTCAAGAATAAAACCGAGATTATATCAACAATAAAATCCGTACCACTGTCGGGAAACACAGTCACTCATAGGACAGAGATGATGTAGGAAAATGTGTTTGATCAAATAAAAATTTACTTGGAAAAGTGCACGTACTCCAGCTTGCAATTTGATGAATCAACAGACATTGTGGACACTATTTGTGCATATGATTTTTGCTGATAATAGTGTTAAAGAAGATTATTTTGGCTCTTTTCCCACGAAAAGAAAAATACATGGCAAAGATGTTTATCAACCCTTTATGAGTTTTGTAGATGAGGTCAGTGTGCCCCTTCAAAAGCTTGAGTCATTAACAACGGACGGTGCTCCTTCAATGATAGGTGCAATGTTGGTTTTGTCAAACTGTGCAAAAATTACCCTGCTTTCCCACAGCTCATCAGTTATTGCATAATACACCGGCAAGCTCTGTGTTCAAAAGCAATTAACTAAAGTATGGCCTTGCAATGAAGGTAGTTGTGAATTTTTTTTATTCCATCAGGATATTTAAGGCACTCCTGGATGAATTAAGTACTCGGTATGGTGACCTTGTCTTGTACACAAAATTATGTTGGCATAGCAAAGGAAAAATTCTCCAAATATTTGAACAACTAATTCCTGAAATAATTTTATTTTTTTGCAAGAAAGGGACAAGTCCTACGGAGAACTCGGTGATCCTCAGTGGTTGATGATTTAGCATTTTTGATTGATATCACATCTGAACTGAACTCTGCAAGCTGACTGATGCTTGAAAAGCAAAGCAGAACACCAAAAATCAAGAATTTTTAACATTAGTGGATTCTGAGAAATTTCCACTTCTGAAGGAGATTTATCAAAGACTAATTTCATGCTTCGGCTCTATTTACATGCGTGAATCAATATTCTCGATAATGAAGTACTTAAAATCCAAGTACAGGTCACGTTTAACTAATGGTCACCTGAATGACCGCATGAGAATAGCAGTCACAAATTACACCACGGATATTTCCAAACTAGCAGAAGGAATGCAGAGCCAGCCTTCTCACCAAACTTCTAAAAGTAATTATATTTGTTTAACTTGTCTTATAAATGCATGATAAAGGAGTAAATTAAATAAGTATGTAACAGTTGTAACGTTGCATACGAGCAAATTTTATAAATTTAGACCCCAAAAAATTACTGGCACCCTCCACTATATTTATTTTGATAAATGTGGCCCATAGCCAACAGAAAGTTGGGGACCACTGATATACAGTATACTATATACTGTACAGTATATGTTTGGGGTATCATCATTGTTTTACAGCTATTTTATACACTTGTGTGGGTTAGCCGCAGTTACCTGATGGTAACTATTCATGCTGCACGGTCTCTTGCAGTCTCTCACCAGGTTCCTAACTTTGTCATTTAATTTCTTTCAACCTCTCCTCATGTCATTCTTGGCCTGCCTACTCGTGGCTCTCATCCCCTCCACATTTAAGCTCATGCATCTCGACCTATAATTAGTCTTATCCGGTCTCTCCACATGCCCAAACCATCTCGGATGCCTCTTCACAAGATTTCACCATTACTGTACTCTCAATACTAAGCTGCCCTCTTAGCTCTGAACAGTACCTCCTGTCTTTCAATGTCACATTACAATATTATACATACATCTCACCATTCTCATTTCAGCTTGCTCGAGTCTACTGATGTCATCCTCTTTAACTACCAATGTTTTCTGCCACAGAACATCACATTTCTCACACCAGCCGCATACATTTTTTCCTTTCACTCGGAGGAAAAGTCCTCTTCATGCATGGTAAACTTACTTGGTTGATGACCTGGTGAATGCATTTTAGCCTTTTTAGTAAGTGATTCTGCCTTTTCTTCTGCCTTCCTTTTTGATGCTTGGCCAGCATCAAGTACTGGGTTGTCTGAAATAAACAAAATACAGTATTCAACTTTTAACAAACATTAAAATATTCTCCTGGATGTTGTTCCTTAGGATGGATTTTAAGCAATTCTTCTCGCTTGCTTCTCATATGTATACCTAGCTAATATAATACACAAAGTTTGTACCTGAATGTATCCCAATACATAAATAACCTCTACTGTACCTTCTTTAACGGGTACAATTTCCTCTTCCTCTTCCTCCTCTTCTTCATCTTCATCTTCCTCCTCCTCCTCCTCCTCCTCTTCTTCTTCTTCTACTCCTCCTTCCACATCTATTCCATCTGCATTTAGATTTTGGCCATCTTTTTCAAAAGAAAAATCATCATCTTCAAATATCATGTATCCAGATAAATGGACTGGGGCTGTCCCTCCATCTGTATAGAATGCAACAGCAGATCCAGCCCCAAACTGTAGATCAAGCTGGGTCTGGAGAATGCCATATTTCTGGCTGAGGTTTGCAATGATAATTTCCCCTTCGTTGATATCAACCTCCACTATAACCTGTGAAGACAAACTCTGTTAGTTTAAAGAAATTTTTACCAACAATGTTTTGTTATAAACTGATCAATATTTAACATATGCCATACATGAACTAATTTAAACTACTGTACGTACAGTATAAAGTTTCTCATAAATGTCACAAAAAGCAATTATGAACATTGGCAACATATCTACAGCAAGACAGTAAAATCCAACAAGTGTAATCACAAGAGCCAAAACGATACCCATGGCAGCATCCTAAAATAGGCATGATAACTCAACAATAGTACTGCATTAACATACAGTATTTCTTAAGCTTGTATCCTGGTGGGGAAGCAACTTATTTTCTAGTGTCATTAGGAAAGAATGCATGTCAGAGTACAGTACTTGTGTATTGGATGGTGCAAGAATTAAGCTTGAAGGTTTAAATATAGATGGGAATTTAATTTAGTACATAAATGGCTTGATTACCCAAAAAATGGAGAATCAGTTATTTAGCTTTTAAGATCAGAATTGGAAATCTGGCTGGAATACCTGACCGTGTACAGTCTATGGGTTGAAACCCTTAACATGTGCAACTGGGACTAAAGCACTCATTAGTGATGCCTTCCCATTACACCCAAGTCCCAACAAAGATACTCTGGAAGCAACAGTCACCATTTACAGTTGAAGGCAACAAGTTATGATGCCACACTAGTGGGCCTTACCAATCAGCTTGATCAATCAATTACTCTGGAATTCCAGGCATCAACGCACTTCCATTCTACCTAACGTGTTTTACGGCATATAAGATGCACGACCATATAAGACGCACCCCCCATTTTAGCAGGGAGTAGTGTATTTAGGAAAAAACTTGTGTGCATTTTCTTCCTGTAGCCATAATTTTCTTAAAACATTGTACTGTATATAGTACTAGTACAATAAATGTGAGAAGTAAATAAAAATAATACAATAAATAAGTTACAACAAAAAATACTGTACAGTATTGCCAAACCAGTTAATAAAAGTTAAATGAAAGTTTAACACAGTCACCATTTGCATACCTATACAGGTACATATATACTCCCTACTTCACCATAGCAAAGGAGATGCTACCTCTGCCAATTCCCAAGCAACGCTACCCCCACACACAATGCCTTCCAACTGTTCCCCCAATGAGCCAGCTAACTAGTGGACAAAGAAATGTATACAGTGGGGTATGCTATAACGAATCTAATTGGTTCTAGAACCTCGTTCGTTATAGGATTAATCCGTCCCAGGCCCCCAAATACAACCACTTAACACTGAAAATTTTCTGTGGAAAATGTAAAAAATACAGTACTTTATCTTACCTTAGTGTTGTTCAGCATGCAGGTACCCCTAAGCACTGGCACAGCACTATCACTTCCACTGGGAGTCTTGGCTTTAAGGTCCTAAAACAATTGTTTGGCCTTCTCACAAATTATAGCTTCACTAATGCTATCACCTGCCATTTCTTTCTCCTTTATCCACACTAAGAGTAAATTTTCCAACTCTTCAATCACATTACACCTTGCTTTGCTAAGTCTAAAGATTCCCTTAGCCACTTGCACAGTTTTTAACTCCTCTTTATTCTTCAAAATCGTACATTTAGTCGATTTAACCATCGCATATTCATTACTAAGTTTTGCAATGCTTGTTCCATTCTCACGTTTCTTTATGATTTCTTTCTTAGTTTCAAGGGTTATTAGCTTTCTCACTCGCTTTGGACGATTCATTGTTACAATTGTCTACTTGTTTAACAAAATAGTTATACAAATAACACGAATTTCCACATCAAAAGACGAAATTTCAACAATAACAGTGGTGCACTGGCTAAACAATGAGATAAAGATGGCGCCTGACGCTCTTGTTGTGAACCGCGATACAACAATATTCATGAGCCAGACGAAAGTCCCGTATTCATCCGCGTTCGTTGTAGGAGTTGCGTTCGTTATAGCATTCTCAATTTTATAGGTAAAACCGTTTATTATAGGAATATTTGTAGTAGGATCCGTTCGTTATAGCATACCCCACTGTATTACCTTAAGGTGTTTGTCATTAGAACAATTATTTCTTTAATTTTTTTCAAAATATATATGTAGGATAGTGTGTGCATGTAACCAAGTAAAAATAAATGAAGAAAGTTATGTATATCAACCCGAAAATACGAGTTGAAGAACGACCATAACACCTCACAGCTTTGCCCAGTAGCATTCATTTTTTTCCTTTTTATGGGGAACAGCCTACCAGGGCACAGGTCATCAACCCACAACAAGGCCTGCGGGGGCAAAAACCAGCTTTTTGAAGTGAGATAGATTGTAAGAGTATGGAAACACAGAAGAAAGCAGAGCATTCCACAGTTTGGCTGTGTGAGGAAAGAATGATGTACTATAATGGGTTATTCTAGTGTGACCGACATCCTCACAGAAACGGTGGGCACCGCGCGCAAGACGAGTGTTGTGAGCCCACTGTGTTGCCGGCAGCACACAGAATGCCAAATCCACTGAGCATTGCCCGTTACAGTACGGTACCTGCAAGCAAGAGAACGAAGCAACATTGCCGCGAAGAGAAACGGAAGAGAGAGATTATTGACTAAAGGAGAGTTAATAAAACAAAATGCCTTTGATTCCATCCTATCAAACAGTTGGACAGAAGAAGAACCACCCCAGATGTGAGAGCAGTACACTCCAAGTTAGGACGAATGAATCCCTTATAAACTTGAAGTAACTGCTCAGGAGTGAAGTAGCTACGGCATCTGTACAGCATTCCCAGATTTTAGGAGGCAGCTTTAGCAATGTTGTGGATGTGTGGCTTCCATGACATATTAGAGGAAATGGTGAGGCCTAGCATATATATTTTAGAATTTGGCAAGATGACTGCATCCTGAAATGTGATTGGTGGGAGATCCTCTATTTTGGAAAGTGTAATTGATAAATACTGTGTTTTATTACAATTGAATTTAACCAAATTTCTACCTCCCTATTCGGAGATGCTGCACAGATACGCATTGATAGATGAAACGATATCAACTCTAGAAACAGATCTAGTTTGAGAGTTAGGGAGAAGGAAAAACACGAGAAGAGTGAAGAGTAGAATCATCAGCATAAGACTGGATAAAGTTAGTAGTAGTGTGAAAGAAAAGAACCCTGTGGAACACCACTATTGGTAGAGAAAGCAAGAGATCGATCCCTCTACAGCAACTGCCATAGATCAGTTCTCAAGGAAGCTAGAAATTAGAGAAAGTGGGGGAGAGAAACCAGAAGAGGTAAGTTTAGAAAGCAAAGACTTGTGCCATACCCTGTCAAATGTTTTGGAGATGTCGAGGGCCACAACTAAAGTTTCCCCATAATCCCTAAGAGAGGATGACCAAAGATGGGTGCAGTATGAGAGCAGATCTCACCTGGGGAAAGCCATACTGGTCCGACAAAAGAGAAAGGCGTTCAAGGTGACGGAGAAAATGAGGGTATAAGATTGTTTCAAATATCTTAAGAGAGGGATGAAGTGAGGGCAATGGGGGTGATAGAGGGATTAGAATGGTCACCCTTCTTCGGGATGGGATGAACTGAAGCATGCTTCCAAGAAGAAGAAAAAATGGGGTTTTGAGGCAAAGGCAAAAGAGGCAAGCAAACACAGGGGCCAGAACTTCGGCACACTCCCTCAAAACACGAGGGGGATATTCCGACTGGTCCATGCACCTTAGTTACATCCACATTGGATAACACAACAGCAACCCTACGATTAGAGATTATAGAAAAGTGCATAAGTTCAATAGGAAGAGTAGGAAGGGTAGTTGGAATCATCTAAGGTGGAGTTAGAGGAGAATAAGGTGCCAAAGAGATTGGCTTTATCAGAGGTGATAACACAATAACCAATGAGACAATAATATACCAAAACTATGGAGAAGTACATAGAGTACTAAAAACCGTTCAAAATGATTCAATGGATTTTATTTCTGATGTCAAACACGATAAGAGATACAAAAAAATAAATGCTATATTTTATTGTATACAGTATATACCTTCTGCCATTCAATGTGATCTGGTGACAATAATTGGAAATATTATCACTTCAAAACATGAGGTACAGTACTTAGTAATTGACAGTACAGTACAGATATATCTAAAACAATGGATAAAAGCCTTACCCTGACCAGCTCATCATCACCACAGCTGGTATCTAAGACAGCTGCTGATATGTGGAAATCATGATCCACAGTTTTAGTATAACGTTTTCCTGGCTCCAGTGTCAAGCCTGAAAAAGAAACAAGCTACAGGTCTTAGAAAACATTAAACATGTACTATAAATTTTTTTCACTAACCTCCTGCCTTTACATAATAATAGGGTATTACTGCAGTTTCAGCCATTACACAACCGACTGTTTAAACTGCCCCCAAACTTTAGATCTCCTTATTTGGAGTACAGTATTTCTAACCCGATGTCAACCAGGCGGCAAAGAATAATAACGTCAGAAATGAATTTTAAAGTTTTTCCATACCTTTAGGGGAAGGGATAACTAAAACGGGTACTTTCCCCTGGAAATAAAGGTAAAATTTGATTAAATCACACCAAAATATACAGGATAAACTAACTTCCAAACTACCTCGTACTAGGGCATATTGGCCAAAACTGCAATTTTACCAATAATAGTACTGTACAGTACTAGCATGTCAATACAGTACAGTACGTATAACATTTTCGGAAGCCCATGGGACACATGCCGCCGCTACCACTCAAGGTGGTCAGGGAGTGCTCAAATGACGACATTTCTTTTGTTGTTTCTGACATTTTTCATCGTATTTAAACTTTTTAAATGTATATTTCTTCACAAATGATTGCTCTACAACACCGTACTATTTTACGAACAAACATGATGAAAATATCGTTATCGACTTTAAAAACTCATAAAAAATCTATTTATCACCTGAATTTCAGTTTAAATCTCAAAATGCACGCCATTGTCTTTCCATTCTTGCCACACAACTGTGGTGGAAGTGGCAAAATAGTTGATTTTGCTATTAAGTAAAATTACCCATGCGTCACTAAGTGCAGGGCTAGCAGGCGGCAGATCACAGAGTAAAGCACCAGATTCTCCATTGTTTTCTGGTCATATGTGCCTCTTATATACAGTACTCGAGTATAGTTCGAGTTTTTATGATCAATTTTTTATGCAAAAAGTAAGGGGTCTAACTATATACGAATATTACTTTTGAGGGGTTAAAATTCATGCATTTCTGTGGGTCATTTATAGTAAATGATAGCTACACAGTTCATGCACACAGTATGCTAACCTTACCAGTAAGCTCCTTTAACCTGAGCTTGCCTATTGTACCCCTTGACTCTTTCTTTATGTTGCTACATGAAGCACAGAACCTTATTCCCTATATATGCCACTTCAAATCCACAAAACCTAATACAAATGAACATTTACAGATAATTTTCCTTTCGTCTACATCCCTAGAAAGTATTCAGAGGAGGATGACAAAACAAATCCTGGGCATTAGAAGAAAAAAAAAAGAGAGAGAGAGAGAGAGAGAGATATATATATCAAGGAGTATAAATGTAAGTTAAGACTAAATAAAGGTGATATAGCAAAGGTACACTGTACTTAAATTATCTAACCAGGAGCAAACACATAGTAATGATATCAAGTACAGTACATGCAAGATATACTGTAGGTACGGCAGCTGTAAGCAAAACGGCGATGTCTATTTGTATGGCACCCTAATGCTAGTGTACCTCCAACTCAGCCCATCTTAAATAACCACTCGGCCCATGCATTTAGCCGACTCGGCCCACCCATTTAGCTGATTCGGCCCATCTTAAATAACCAACTGAGCCCACACTTTACTGACTCGACCCACCTTGCACACTTCAAACAAGTAACTGACTAGAGGTTCAGGAATGAGTTCAAGATTTATTTTACATCTCTTTTGGTTCACTGAAACACAAAGTGTGAATGAATGAATACCGAGGTTTCAGTCGGTATGAAGGATGAATTTTATGAGTATGTTAGTAGCACTTGATCAATGAACCATGATTCACATTCCTAACTTGTGCTTCTCCAGGTGATTTTGAACACCTGAAGTTTGAAAATATTGCTTCCAGCAATTTGTATACAATTGATGTTAAACTGATTGGCCAGTAGTTAGAGGATAGTGATCTATCTCCCCTCTTGAAAATCGGTATCACTTTCGCTATCCTCCAGGACTCTGGTACTACACCCATTTTTAATGACCTGTTAAACAAATTTGGTAAGGGCATACTAAGCTCTTCCTTACAATCCTTCAATATTCTGGCAAATATCTCATCAGAACCTGGTGATTTATTAGGCTTTAGCTTGTCTATTTGCTTACTAACATCATTACTAGTCACTACTATCTCAACTAATCTAGCTTCTTCACTATCTCTGTATATAGTCAGTACCTCGGGTATCATGTTTAAATTTTCGGTGGTGAAAAATATCTGTTCAGATTATTGCTCATTTATCCATTGTTATCAGTTAGCTCGCCGGTATCTGACTGTATTGGTCCAATCTTGGTCTGTGTTTAGTTTGATACATTTGGAAGAATTCCTTGGGGTTTGACTTTGCCTCCTCTTTGCTTTTCTTACCTTGGCCAACACCTTATAATAATATCGGAGGTAAACTTCACCACGATTTATTCTCCGACCTATAGCCTTCCTTTGGCCAATAAGATTCTTAAAATAATTATGTATCCATTTGGGGTCATTGTTACCCGGTATTTGATCTGAGTTTTCTGTATGGTATGTTCTGCCTTTGTGCATGAAGTAACTCGCACAGTATATTTGAATAGTTGTGGAACTCACCAACCTCAGATTTCGTGATCAGGTCATCCTCAACTGTCATACCTAGTGAGGTTATCGTTGTCAGGTCACCAGGTAAAGTGAGGTCGCCCTCTGTGGGTACATTGTTGTGGAACTCGTCAACCTCAGATCTCGTGATTGTTTATCAGTAATGTTTGTACCTTTATGCTGCTTTTTATCATTGTACTTTTATCATTCATGCATAGATTAAAAGGTAAACTTTTAAGTATTTTCTTGTGATTTTATTTCATGGCTACACATCATGAGGCTGTTTATCAGTAATACTTGTGCATCTATGCTTCTTTTTATCATTTGTTATGATGAACTACAGGTGCTCCCCGACTTACGACGGGGGTTAGAGATCCAAATCCAGGTCGTAAGACCGACAGATTAAAAAAAAAAAAAATCTACAATGAAATACAGTACCCTAAAAGTAATAAATAATGAGGAATGGATACATCAATGGATACAGTGTGACTGAGCACTTACCTTTAATGTAGTCAGCTGAATGCACATGGGGTCCCCATAATTTTCTAATTATACATGGACTACATTAACTGGAAACGTTTCGGTATAGAAAATGCGCGCGTCATTTTGGGGGAAAAAATAAATAAATAAAAATTTGGGGCACGACTGTGGCGGTCGTATGTCCCGACGGTCATAAGGTCAGAGCAGGTCGTAAGTACCGATGGACCTAAGTTGAGGCAGTCGTAAGTCGGGGACTACCTGTACTTCTCAGGTTGTGTAGGGAAGACTATGGTCACAAGATGGCACTGGCTGCCCATCAATCAGCCTGGGGTATAACTGGCTGGTCTTAGTACCATAGTATGTGGAGCCCTGTGATTGGTCCTGGTCTGGAGGTGGAAAATTTGGTGTGCTCCAGAGTGAGTTACTGAGTATAGGCTGAGAAGTCAACATCTGGTCTCCTAAACCATAAGTATAGTGTGTTAAGTGTACCCTTACTGCTCCAGACCCAGGAGTTATTATAGTTTATATGGTGATGTTTAGGATGTAATATTTTTTAAATGGTGATGTTTAGGATTTAGTGATTATATATTATAGTGTGATGGTTAGGATTTAATGTTCTTTTATTATTACCCCGGTGCTGTACTTGAGTTTTCAGATTTCTTTTGTTGTATATATTTTGTATAAAATTCCGTCAACAGTTTTAGTTACTTTTGTAAATAAATAGTAAGTTTTAACTTTTAAGGTAATTTTCCCTATTAAACAAGTTGAAGAATTTGTTATGGGAGGGGTTGGTTAACCCTTAGGCCCCGGGCGACGTTCCAAAACGTCTACCTATTTTCCCGCCATTTTTCAATGATTTTTTTTCTCGATTTAACCCCGCGTGGGGGGTACTGCCAGCAGCACCCTAACCCGGGGCTTAAGGGTTAAAAACTCGCTTTGTATTGTAACACATTGCACCTTTGTACTTTTATCATTCATGCAAAAATAAATGTGTAAACTTTTACGTTTTAGGGTTGGCTATCCAAGAGTGTCCGAGTTGGTATTTGATGGTCCGAGTTGGCAATGGGCCGAGTTGGACTGAATTCTCTAATGCTAACCCAACATTACCACATTTTGCACAGGAACGATTTTCTGCCGTACCATTAACCGCAAAGTCATTATAACTCCCATGCCTGCATCGAGTGTGTTTTAAATTAGACAAATTTAGTTTTAGGTGTGAGATAACTAAACACTGACATGGGAATACAGTTGTGGGCGAGTGGAACAAATTACGGTAATTATTCGGATCATGACTGCCCGCTGTTTTTCATTGAAGATTGGTTTAAAAATAGTTTTCACTGATTTTATTAGATAAAATTGTATTATGTTGGGAAAAATATATAAAATCCTGAAATCATGTGTTAACCTAACCTATATCTTAACTTGCCTATATGTAGAAAACTAAGCATTTGCCCAAGAAAATGAATAGAAGTGAAAGTAATCAGCGTGAAAAACTGTCTAAAACCGCCCCCCTTAATTATCTAACTGTTGACAGTTAAGAAACTTATATTGGCCCAAATTACATAAGTATCATCAATACAGGCTTACTAGGAAGCTTCAAAGGTAATTGCTGTATATTCAGATAGTGACCACCTGCTGTTTTTCATCGAAAATGGGTTTAATAATACCCAGTTTTCACTAATTTTATTAGAGGATACTGTATTATGTTGCGAAAAATTTAAGGGGGTTGAAATCATGTGCTAAGCTAACCAAACCTATATCTAGAAAATTAAGCACTTGCACAAGACAATGAATAGAAGTGAAAGTTATCAACTTACAAAACTATCTAAAAACACCCCCATAATTACTGAACCGCTGACGGTAACCGATCATATATTAGCCACTTCAAATATAGTTTAGTTCTGGTGCCCGTATTATAGAATGGATATCAATTCACTGGAGTCGGTGCAGCGAAGAATGACGAAAATGATTCCAGGACTTAGAAACCTTCCATATCAAGATAGATTATAGAAACTAAACTGGCATTCCCTAGAAAGACGAAGAGTGCGGGGAGATATGATAGAAGTATTTAAGTGGGTGAAAGGAATCAATAAAGGAGGTATAAAGTTCTTATAATATCCGAGCATGATAGGACTTGAAGCAACAGATTTAAGTTGGATAAGTTTGGGTAATATCAACTTTGTAGTAAGTGCTGGAACACTGGAAAGTTTTAAAACGAGGCTAGGTAGATTCATGGATATGAGTGGTTGTAACTCTAGACAGGAGCTGCCATGCACAGGCTAACCGGCCTATTGCAGACTCCTTATTTTAATAAGAACATATGAAACATAAGAAAATAAGGAGTCTACAATAGGCCGGTTGGCCTGTTCATGGCAGCTCCTCTAGTTACTACTACTCTCTATCATCCATGAATCTATGTTCTTAAGAGCTATTTGGGTTGAAAGTAAATGGAGCTGCCTAGTATGAGCCAACAGGCTAGCTGCAGTTTCCTCCATTATTATGTTTTGTTCCAGTACTTGCCAACAATGTGTAACAGAGCCAGTACATGCCCAGTACTTGCCAACATGTTTAACAGATAGACGGCACTGGACTTGCCAGCAGTGTAACAGAGCCAGTACATGCCCAGTATTAGCCAACAGTGTGTAACAGTGACGTGACCGACCGCCCAAGTAGCTAAGAGGCCGATCAGTGGTGACGATAAAGTAAAAAAAAAAAGTAATAAATAAACCACAATGCCATACGAGTTTTAAGATGCAATGGCCACAAGGTACAGTTCGCAGGTAACCTTCCAGAGTTAACTTACTGATAAATGGTATTGTTATGTGTTAATAATGTGACCTTGGAGTAATATAGCGGCTTAACTCACCCCAAAACATGGTGGTGAAGGAAAGGGAGGACACACGTGGTGATGATCAGCTGTTGTGGTGTCCTCAGTCTCTACCTGTTGTCTAACTTGTCTTTGCCGCCGGACTAATACTATGGCTCCTTTTAAAACATACTATCTATAATAATATTCCCATTTTATCAATATTATTACTATTTTTATAACTATTAAATTAGTTTCCCTCTATATTTTATTATGTTTTGCTGAATATTCTCCTTAACTGATTCATAAACCTATATAGTCTCAGAAGTGAGTTTCCTTCGTTTGTGACTTATTATGTTACTTAACTTCATCCTAAGTGAATATATGAGACGGTTCAAGTATTGGAATCTTTACAATATCATTGTTTAACATTATTCGCTACTTAAGCTCCGGACTGGTGGGTAAGAGACATCTTGATCCTTGTCTCTCTAAGGCCAGTATACGGTACACAGACACCTAAAAATAACATGTAAAAGTTACAAGGAAATCTTTGGCTAATGCACAGTACTAGAGGTAGCCATGCCGAGGGATGGAGGCCAGTGTCCTGCTCCAGTGTAGGAACCCTCCATTGTTTTTTATTGTCTTCTCTGGGGCTATTTTGAAGCCCATGTGCTGTTCGTGATGTCACAGCTTAGGCTGGTAGACCGCTTCGTAGGTCTACCAGCCTTTACTTGAAGTATTTCCTTATGTTCGTTCTGCATGGTAACTTCGTGAGCTTGTGGTTAGAATTGTGATACTCTTGGAACAATTTGCCGGAGTGTTGTGATGGCTCCGAGTGTGAGCTCTTTCAAAATAAACTGCCCAAACGGCTAGTAAGCTGATAAGTGGCGAATATGATAAAAAAAAAACACTGGAGCAGGTTCAAATACATTCAGGAGCCAGGCTGTCAGTGCATGCCCAGTACTTGCCAACAGTGCGTAACAGAAATGACCGACCGACCAAGAGGATGAAAGTAAAACTATGTATTTTTGTTGGTGGCGCATACATACATACATACATACATATAAACACACGAGTAACTGGGCAATTTGTTCTCCAGGAAGGACTGAGTGGGTCATACGGATTCACAAGATATGAACAACTTTGTTGACGAATTGTGGGAAAAATATAATTCATAATCTTTCTTTTAAATTTGCTTATATGGGGAAAACAAATACTGTATTGAAATTTCACTCTTGAATAGATGCCTGTATCTACAGTACATCCTTCTTTTCTCACACAACCAAACTGTGGTATGCTCTGTCTTCTGTGTTTCCATACTAATACAATGTCTCGGTTTAAAATGCTGGTTTTCCGGTGTCTTCGTTGGTGTAGATTAATTTAGTCTTCATCTCTTCTATTTTTAATTTCTTTTTACTCTTATGTTTTCGGCCCGCAGGCCCTGTTGTGGATCGATGACCTGTGCCCGGGTGGGCTATTCCCCATAAGAAAAAAAAAATGAAAAAAAATAAATCAATAAAATAAATAAATAAATAAAAATAATAAAAATATATTCTGGTATCGGTTCACTTGAAAAAGTCTCCCACCCCCAGCTTATTTTATTTTTATTTTTATTTATTTTTTTTCGCCACTGATCGGATTATTAGCCGCTTGAGCGATCGGTCACGTCTCTAATTACTTTTCCTTTTCATTTATCTTCTTCACCAAAAGATCGGCTCGCTAGCCGCCCGGGCGATCGGTCACGTCTGTCACGCACTGTTGGCAAATACTGGGCATGCACTGGCTCCTGAATGTACGTGAACCCGCTCCAGTGTTGGTCAAGTCTTGTCTTGAAAGAGCTCACACTCGGTGCCGTCACAACACTCTCTGGTAGATTGTTCCAAGAGTTTACGACCCTCCGAAAAAGTTTGCCCTCACGGTTTTCTGGACTTGCGGCTTCTTCAATCTTGAGCTGTGAACCCTTTTGGGGCGAGAGTCCGCCAGCTCCAAGTAAGGACACTCAACTGAGTAGTGCCCCCTGAGATGCTTATACACCTCAACTAGGTCCCCCCTTGCCTGTCTGTAGTATAAGCTAGCTGAGGTGCCGAAGTGCAGGCACCAGTCTGGTGGCCCTCCTTTGAACATTTTCAACCAACTGACAGTCCCTAGCACATCTCGGGGACCAGATGGGGTGACAGTACTCCAGATGGGGAAGCACTTCACTCCTGAAGATCGTTACGAGGGACGGACCGTCTAGATATCTGAACGACCTTCTTATAAGACCCAATAATTTATTTGCCTGATTTACCTTCTTCTCGCAATTTTTCCGAGAACTTCAGCTCATTGTTAACATACACACCTAGGTCCTTCTCACACACAGTCTCAACTAGTGCAGTTTCTTCATCCCGTTGGGACATATGATACGCCTCCTTGTCGTTGGTACGCCCCAGGTGCATCCTCTTACACTTCGTGACATTGAATCTCAGCAGTCATTTCTTCGACCATTCCTGGAGCCCACAGAGGTCCTTCTGCAGTTCTTCACAGTCTGCTTGGATCTTAATTTCCCAAAATAACTTGGCGTCATCGGCAAACATTTGTATGGAGGAGTGTACAACGTCAGGCATGTCATTTATGAAACAAACAACAGCGGGCCCAATACACTGCCCTGTGGTACCCCACTTGTGACAGGTACAGATGACGATTTCGTGCCATTAATCACCACACACTGCTTGCGGTCATGTAGAAAGTCTTTTTAAAAAATTGCGGAAGGTAAATTTTGAAATAATGTTTCATTTTTAAAACCTTTTGTCTGTTTTCTAGGCTCTGATGATGGAAAATGATTTTCCGAAGCATTAGTAATTAAAGAAACCCAACTTAGTAAAGATGTTTGTGTTTTCCCTGGTTCTCCTTTTCATTACTACAGTATTTGGATCCTGTTATGGTAATATATAGTATACAAGGTGAGAACCCCAAAGAAACTAATCTTGAAATGACTGATGATGAGTTAGAAATGTGTTGTACGTTAAATAGTCATTTTCGCTCCGTATTCACAAATGAAAACCTAGCACAGTTTCCAGAAGTTCATAAGGTATATAACGACAGTATAGAAAATATGTTGATGAATATCAATATTACTAGTAACGATGTGCTTAAAGTAATTAACAAACTGAAGCCTCATAAATCGCCTGGTCCAGACGAGGTATATGCTAGAATATTAAAAGAATGTAGAGATGAGTTGAGTAATCCATTAGCAGTTTTATTTAATAAGTCATTAGAATCGGGCCTAGTGCCAGAAGCTTAGAAACTTGCAAATGTAGTTCCGATTTTCAAAAAGGGTGATAAATCAAACGCATCAAATTACCGTCCCATTAGTCTCACGTCAATCATAGGCAAGTTGCTAGAGTCAATTATTGCTACAAAAATCAGAAGCCACCTTGAAACATTCAACTTAATTCATTCTTCTCAGCATGGGTTCACCCAGGGACGTTCTTGTCTCACAAATTTGCTTAGCTTTTTCTCAGAAGTATATGAAGCGGTAGATAATGATAAGTCATATGATATAATTTATTTAGATTTCAGTAAAGCATTCGATAGAGTCCCTCATGAGAGATTGATAAGGAAGGTAGAAGCACATGGAATAGGTGAATCAGTATTAAAATGGATTAGGTCATGGTTAACTGGTAGGAAACAAAGAGTCAGCATAAATGGATTAAAGTCAGACTGGGGTGCGGTCAAAAGCGGAGTTCCCCAGGGATCTGTATTAGGCCCTCTGCTGTTTGTTATATTCATTAATGATCTTGATTTAGGCATAACTAGTAGGATTAGTAAATTTGCAGATGATACCAAAATGGGGAGAGTGATAAATTCAGACAGTGACTTTGAACACCTTCAAAGAGATCTAGATACCTTACATGAGTGGTCAGTAGACTGGCAAATGAATTTTAATACTGATAAATGCAAGGTACTACAGATAGGGAAGACGAATACAAACGTTAAGTATAAACTAGGTAACACGGAAATAGAAAACTCAGTTTGTGAAAAAAGATCTAGGTGTATTTGTTAGCAACGACTTGAAACCTAGAAAACAATGTATTAGCGTTCGCAACAAGGCAAACAGGATTCTTGGGTTCATATCTAGGTCTGTGAGTAACAGAACTGCTGACGTTATCTTGAAACTTTACCTAGCATTAGTGAGGCCACACATGGATTATGCGGTTCAGTTCTGGTGTCCTTATTATAGAATGGACATAGATTCTTTGGAGAGAGTACAAAGAAGAATGACAAAATGATCCATAATATTAGAAACCTTCCATATGAAGAAAGACTGAAAAGCTTAGGCTTACATTCATTAGAGAGGCATAGAGTTAGGGGAGATATGATAGAGGTGTACAAGTGGGTAAGTGGGATTAACAAGGGTAAAATGGAAGATGTTCTGAAGCTCAGTAATAACGAAATAACTAGAACAAATGGCTTTAAATTAGATAAATTCCGATTCAGAAAGGATATAGGCAAGCACTGGTTTGGTAATAGAGTTGTGGATATGTGGAATAGGCTACCGAGTGCTATAGTAGGATCGGGGACGCTAGGGAGCTTCAAGACGAAGTTGGATAGGCACATGGAAGTGCTGGGATGGGTGTGAAAGGGATCTGCCCTGTATGGGCCAGTCGGCCTCCTGCAGTATCCCACTTTCTTATGTTCTTATGTTATAATATTGACAAGTGTGTGTGTTTCCGGAGAGGAGACCATGGAGCGGATCGTGGGCCCGGAGGGTTACATCTATACTATTCTAACATCATCCTCGGTAACTCTGTTGGTTTTGGCCCCAGCATCCGTTTCCTGGGTAACCCCCTACAGGAACTGATGACCAGTGTGCGATCACCCTAGGAGGTCTGGAAGAGTTACAACGATCACTTGAGATAGAATAATGACCCGAGGGAACATCGAACCGACCCTGGAAGTAGAGTATACGAGACCTGTGATGTCGACATTTCTATCTGGGATGATACAATACAGCCGTCACCAGGAGCACCACACACTGGTGTAACAACAGCTGGTAACTTGATAGGCTAGCAAATTACTGTAAATAACTTCTATTTTGTGGCTTAATAAACCCGATAAAAGAATTCAAATTTTGTTTTTCACATAAGAAATAACCCATTAATTCTTTTGTCGTGACAATGACTTTTTTTTTTACTATTGAAAGTTAAATTAAAAATAAGCTTTGTCTAAAGTTGTACGAGAAACTGAATCTAAACTTAATATAATTTAAGTTTATAACCGTCCATCATAAGTGAACTCACCGTCTCCATTATATTGGTTCACACACACCAAGAGCAATGTTTACTTTCTCAGTATTATATTCCCAATCGCCGTTAAAAGTGGTTTACAATATGTGTGTGTAGACGTGTTGGGGGTGGGATGTGGACGTGTGTGGGGGAGCATGTGTAGGTGGGTGTGTGTATGGTGGGAGGGGTAAGTAGGTGATAGCTATAGTCTCTCCTTCTGGTAACGTGTGACACCTACACAGGATGTCACCTCAAGGAGCTGGACACCACTGCTGTAAACATAACCTTTTACTCTGTTAACATTACCTGAAGATTCGTCCATCAGATTATTTCACCTGAAGGTTAACCATCCTAGCGCTACCCAAATCTGACCTGACAATAACCTAACCGAACCTAATCTAGCTCGTCTCGTTACACTTGAAGATTACACATCCTAACACTAATTTAACCTAGACTGACACCCATGTAGCGTTAAGGTAGTTATTCATCAGGTGAAATAAGCTATATGGGGCTAATCCTCATGTTATCCGAGGTAATTGCTGACAGAATTTACACCGTACCTGTACTATTTATATACCTGCTGAATCAATGTGAATTTGTATGACAATTTTATTGAAATTATTAATATATATATATATATATATATATATATATATATATATATATATATATATATATATATATATATGAGAGAGAGAGAGAGAGAGAGAGAGAGAGAGGAGAGAGAGAGAGAGAGAGAGAGAGAGAGAGAGAGAGAGAGAGAGAGAGAGAGAGAGAGAGAGAGAGAGAGTTAAGCCTCAAATACAGATACGAGTATTGTACAGTACTTGTCACATGACCAGTGTCTGATCGACAAAAACTGACTTCTATCTGGGAGTGTCTATCAAACTATCTGGGAGTGGTATCGAGTCCAACCTCCCTCACACTATCACAAGCGTAATGTTATGTCGTTATAATGGTTACAGATAGCACTAAACACATTCGGTATTTTACTTTCTTTCGTTATATTCACCCTGAATGAAGGAGTCAATTCTGAATATATATATATATATATATATATATATATATATATATATATATATATATATATATATATATATCCTCGATATGATAAAGCTACTAAAATTTTCAGTATCTTGACCGAAACTGTCACCAATACAAGCAAGAATTAAAGGATGTTCTTTGCTTGGAAATCATTAATCTAACATGTAGTAATAATGTGGAAATCACAAATACACAACCACTCTTGTTTTTCTTACTCGCTTGAAATGTTTGCTCCAGGAATAATCTTAGTATGAACGGAGGAACCTTCATTACTCATTTTTTTTATACATAATGAATACTGTATATGAATGTCAACTAAATTCCCTAGATTCCGTAATCCAATGTCATATTTTCTGAAGTGTAAAAATTAAACAAGTCGATGCTACGTGTGATATTGTATTAATACTATTTAAAAGTACTGTGTTGTGTGGGCGCCGCTTTATAACCTGATGATGTTCACGAATCTTTAAATCTTATCATTGACTTACCTGTAATTTTATCCCACACATGTACAGTCGTCTTCACTAGCTTTTAGGGGATTAGCCTACCCGGGCACAGGTCACTGACCCAGATCAGGCCTGGAGGGCGAAAATATAACAATAATAATAATTAATAAAATAAATAAAAATTATAATAAAAATAAAATAATAACCATGAATACAAAAACCTTCCACAAATCATTACATTGAGATATTTGTTTTAATATTGTCTTAATTTAATTCCAATGTTTGTTTACTATTGCGACTTTCCTTCTGTCGAATGTAAACAAACAAGGCTGCCACTGCACAAAACCTGACGAGCCCCTGTAAACGCACTAGTGAAGGGGACTATACCTTTTTCAGTTCAAGTTCGGTTTCGTTCAATAATTTTGATTTTTTTTCAATCGTATGATAATACAAAGGTGTTTTGATAATGGGTAATTGTACATTCAAAACAGAAACATGAAATATACGCAACATTCCTCTGGGGTGAAGATTGCATTATTCCTGAATGTATTAAAATGAAATTGGTGTTAAAGTTTAATTACAGGAATAACAAAAAGCGTAGATAAAACCTCCACAGTCCTCACAAGTACTGGAAAATACTATATATCGTTTTTAATGTAAAGTAAATCATATGTGTCCGGGAGGGGATGGTGTCGGAAGGTTTACATGTATTTTTCCGATGGAGAACATGATGAATCACCTGTTAATACGTCACTGCCCGTGTTTCTACTAAATTTCCTCTAGTTTTTATTTATTTATTACTCACTGGGGCAGCACACCAGGTAGATCATACGGAGGATAGCCTGAAGATTAGACACACCAGTTTATTTGACATGGAGATTAACCACCCTAAATCTTACCTAACAAACCTAACCTAAACTAATCCCTAACCTAAAATAACCTAATCAAACCAAACCTAAGCTAACCCAACCCAACGCAGATAGCATTAGGGTGTTTAATCATCTGGTGAAATAAGCTGGGAAAGGAACTAGAATCTTCAGGTTACTTCTAACTTGGCAAGTGTTTCCTATATAATTTATAAAAATTTTTTTTATGGGGATTAGCCCACCCGGGCACAGGTCACTGACCCACATCGGGGCCTGGGGTGGGTGGGGCAAAAAATAACAATAATAACTATTATTATTATCATTACAACAATTAAAAAAATTAATAACATTATTAAATAATAATAATAATAATAATGTAATAATAATAATAATAATAACCATAAATAAATACAAAAACGAAAAAAATAAATCAAGAGTGAGAAACGATATACATTATGTATGTTGTGTTGTCCAAGTAAGAGAAACAAATGAGTCCCTGCAATTGTGTAAATGGGGCAACAGGGTCTACCATTAGACAACACAATGGGAATTTGGGGTAGAATATCTATGTATTGTGAGTCATTTTACGGGTTACCGAACTCAACCATACGATAGGTGACATTACTCCACATATTTTGACACATTATTTGTCTGTCTATATATATTGTCTATTCATCCATCCATCTATGTATCCATCCAACCATCTATCTATCTATCCATACACCCATCCTTCCATCCACCCATGTAGTCACAGGATCACAACACCAGCCTGTGTGGGAGGAAATGTGGGCCAGACAGGAGAAACTGACACGGTGGTGGAAGGAGGAGGGGAGGGAGTGTAGGAGTAGGAGGGGAGGAAGGGAGGGGAGGTAGAGGTGCAGAGGAGGGGATGCGTTGGGGGAAGTGATGTGGTAGAAGAAGGGGGGGGGGGTAGGACAAGAACCAGATAGATAAATATTCAATAAAATCATCATACAAGTTCACATTGGTTCACCGTGTGTACATACAATAAGCAGTACACACAGTAGTAAACAATAAGTTCATTTAACCAACGATTATCCGAGCCAGACGAAGTTTATGTTTCTGTTGTGGTTCCTTATCTTGACATCTAAGTATTTTTTTTATATTCCTTATCTTCCCCATCTCCTCTTCTGTAAAAGAGAGAGAGAGAGAGAGAGAGAGAGAGAGAGAGAGAGAGAGAGAGAGAGAGAGAGACAGCGGGAGTGTTTGATATCATTAGCAGACATAAACGAGACACTCCTGAAAGCGGTGGTGTATAAATTATTACTTACTCAAGGTTTTAACGTTGACTAGTTCGTATAGGTTGAAAGGCTTGTAGTTGAAGTCACTCCAGATATAATGAAACTACGAGTAAATATTAGATGTGTAATATTTTGTTTCATTGTTAATGCGAAGTTATAGAAGCGTAGATTAATTTGACGAATAATTTTGAAATTAAGAATTCAACTGATGCCCAGACTCATTATACTTATTAGACACACGATTATATTCTTCATA